AAAAATTATACCCTCAACCCTCTACCCTCTACCATCCGAGCTTTTGAAATTCCATCCATCTCTCAAGGAAAAAGAGAAGCACCCCTCCCCTCCCCCCAACCCCGGCACCCTTATGGAGAAGTCGAGTTGACAATCGGTCCGGCGAATCTTTTCAATCCCAAAAAAAAAAAAAAAAAAAAGACTTCTTAATCCTGTTTGGGGGACTCTTTCGCTAGCTGGGAGATAGATACCTACCTAGGTAGGTAGGTAGGTATTTCGAAAAGAAGGATGGACGGACGGACGGACGGACGGACGGAAATCCTTGGTTTCGCAGCTGAGAGAGAATTATGGCCATAGTTGAGCAGAGCAGCCCTGGTAGTCACTCATGCTAAACGCTAACTCGGAGAGCTATGCTTGATGAAACTGGAATGCTTTTTCTCGCGCCGTTCTGCATCTTCACTATCTTCAAAAGTGGGTGAAATATGGGCAGGGAACATACGAACGATTGATGGCAAAAGTGATTATTTATTGGGAGCAAATTTGTGTTAGTCTATGTGATCCGATTTTCACAAATGGCTCGCTGTCCAGCTCCCACCCGTAAGCAAGTCCCAAAACGCTTGGCCGAACGCTCTCCCTCAATCTGAGACTCTTCTTCTCTCCAGTCTGATGGGCCATGAGATTTTTTGGTTTAAAAAAAAAAAACGCCCGCATCCTTGCTAAACTGCAAGACACCCCACCAGCGACAGGAGCGGAAACGCCCTTCTGAACGCGATTTACGCCCAGCTGATGCAATGATGCAATGATACCCGCCGCCGCTCCATAATGCAAACCCCGACCCAGGTCTGTTCCCCCAAACGGGGAAGAAATACAAGCCAACTCCAACGCAATGGTTCCGAAATGGGGAATTTGAACGAGCAGCAAGGCCATCAATTTCTGATGGCAGCCGCCGGTGCAGAAGAGCCATTTGGAGAGGTCCCCGAAGGACCATTACTCTTGGGCTCGGCGCTAGAGATTTTCAAATACATGCCTTCCAGCTTGCTCGGAGAGGCTGCTGATCCAGGCCAGTAACCTGCGAAATACTCCCTTGTCGACTGTTAGCTAAGCCCATCCTACAATAATCTCGTCGACTTACCAGAATCTCATCTTCAGCTTCTTCCCTTCGTCCTCCTGGATCAACTTCCCTTCATCCTCCTGGATCAAGTCTTGAATGAAGTCACCAGCAACAATAAGTTCGGTTTTCATGATGCTGGCACGCTCCTTGGATGATTCGATGCGGTCCTTCGTCGCCGATTGGACCCGCTTGAGACTGTCTCTGATGGGCTTGAAGATGAGACGCATCATAGAATCAGACGAATCTTGCTCATGACCTGATTTTGAATGTCCATTCTCCGACTTGCGTGCTTTCGAGTGACGGTCACCGTGCCGATCATCCGGTACACTATGCTTTCTCTCGAACTTGGGCGTACTCGAATCCCCATGGCGGCGCGAGTCGATATCTCGGTCTCGATCTCTATCGCGGCTGTGATAAGACTCGGGTATGCGGTTCTTACTCCTTGCCTGAGGAGCGGGGGACGCGGAGACAGAGCCTGCCCGACGATGCCCGTTCATGCGCTCATTCTTCTTGTTGTTTCGATGGTGATTTTCGACGGCTCGCTTCGCGGCTTGATTATCGGAATATTTGGCCTTCAGAACAGAAAGCAGATAATCTGCTCGGCGAACAAGGTGGACAGCCCCGGGGGCCTTAGCAACCTTTTCCTCACCCTTGGTTCGCTCCTCCTTCTTGTCGACCCGGTGCTCCTCGAGGAAAAGCTTTTCTTTCAGTCCAAGGTCCGGATCATCTCTGATTTGAACCCATGCACCGTAACCATGTCGATGGATACCAACAAGCAGCATACCGTCTTCTCTAGCACCCCATTCACAAGAATAGTGTGCTGCTTTGGAAGCGTCTGGAACGCGGAAGTTTCTGAAGTCCGAGGCAGCAGCGATGATCTCTTTCAACATCATCATCTCACCCGGGCGCTCCATAACCGTCTCTGCGTTGAGTCTCTTGACGCCGAGGAAGTCAAACAGAACGGCTTTCCTGTCTTTCTTCGTGACAGGTTTGTTGTTTTCGCGTTCCATAGCTTCAATTCTAGCAGTGTCCTCTTTGAGTCTTCTGTCACTTTCATCCGTTATAGCCTTGATCGTGGCACGGAGAAGGTCCAGATCTCGGCCAATAAGACGAGCCTCTTTGACGAGCTCATCTCTGCGCTCGTCGATGGAGCCATAACGAAGAAAGGCACGGAAAAGGTTTCTAGCCTCCTTTTCGTTCAATTCCCTCTTGGGATCCGCACGATTGGCCTGAGCCTCTCTCTTCTCCTCGAGCTCGTCTTGTTTCGCTTGGTCACGCTCCCTCTTCTTGGCAAGACGCTGTTCCCTCTCAACTTCTGCGTTGTTCTTCTTGGTAGCTTTGCGGGGCGCATTCTCTTCGACGACCTTAGCGAGGTACTCTTCGTGATTCCGCTTCTCTTCTTCAGCCTTGAGTTCCGCGAGCGCATCTTTGGGGATGATGTCGTCCCATTCAAGATCGATTTTGACATCCGTGTACTCAAAACTCTTCAAGAAGTCTTCGCCACCATCAGCGACCATGCCCTCTGGAACCTCAGTCTTGTGCTCTTCCGCGTTTTCAAGTACTGAATCAATATCGAGTTCCTCGAGCTTCTTCTGGTTTCCTGACTGCTCAAACATCTTCTGTCCACGCCGCTTGAGAATTCTCGAGATGTCGTCTGAGGATTTTGGGTCGTCAATCTTGCCCGCCTTAACAGCCTTTTCCCGCAACTCTTTCTTCTCCTTGTCAGTAACACCTCGCTGGATCGTGATGAACTCTAGCATGAGCTTGTTACGTGCTCGCTCAAGAACCTCTTCTTCTACCGTCTCCTTCGAAACCAGTCGGTAGATACTGACAGGCTTCTTTTGTCCGATGCGATGAGCACGAGCCATGGCCTGAAGATCGGCTTGTGGGTTCCAGTCAGAGTCAAATATGATGACGGTGTCAGCAGTCATCAGATTGATTCCCAGACCACCAGCCCGGGTGGACAACAAGAAACAAAAGTCATTACTGCCCTCAGCATTGAAATGGTCGATGGCCATGCGACGAGGAGCAGCTGCGATTGTACCATCGAGGCGTTGGAATTGATAACCTCGAAGCTGAAGATAGTCGCCCAGAATATCGAGCATTCTCACCATTTGGCTGAAAATGAGAACACGATGGTTGTCCCGTTTCAACTTGGTCAACAGTTGGTCCAAAAGCATCATCTTGCCACTGCTCGCAATCAGGCCTTTCAGATGATCCTCACGCCGGTCACTCCCTTTCAGAATCTTTTCCTCGGCATTGGGAAACATGTAAGGGTGATTGCTAGCTTTCTTCAGCTCCATCATGATGTTGAGAAGAGATTGCTTCTGGCCCTTGCCTCCTTCATTCAGAGCAGCATAATTCCTTGTGAGAATGTTCTTGTAGTAGTCCAACTGGACGTCAGAAAGCTCAACTCGAATGATCTTCTCAGTCTTCGGAGGCAAGTCATTCTCAACCTTCTGCTTAGTCCGGCGAAGGATGTAAGGTTGGATCTTATTAGTCAGTGCTGCGATCTTCTCCCCAGCGGCCTCATCCGTCAAGTCCAAATCATCCTCAATGTCCAGCTCGCCGGGCATAAGGAAGTCCATGAGGGCGGATAACTCTCCAAGTGTGTTTTGAACCGGTGTACCTGTGATGAGCAATCTACTTGGGGCTTTGAAGTCAAGCAGTCTCTGGTAGAGTTGAGATTCCCGATTCTTCAAACGATGGGCTTCATCGATGGCCAAAAACTGCCACTTGATCTGGGAGAGAAAGGCTGCATCCGTGAGAATGTATTCGTAAGATGTAAGCAGAACGTTGAATTTGGGTTTCTTGACGTTGCCTTGCGAAAGCAATTCATATTCGCGAATGATGTTGCGAGATGATTCTTTCCCATTGTAAACAACGTAGTTGAGATCAGGAGACCAGTATTCGAAAGTGTCTGCCCATGCCGGAATAGTCGTCAGGGGTACGACAACCAGGAACGGTCCTTCCTGTTTCCTGTCATGTCGAAGCCAGTTCATGAAAGATACGGTCTGAACGGTCTTTCCCAGGCCCATCTCATCTGCAAGGATGACGTTCTTGTTCTTGCACCAGTTATAAGCCAAGAAGTTCAGCCCCGTTATTTGAAAGTCTCTGAGTTGTCCATTCTTGACATAGGGCGGCTGTTCTCGGATAGGCACATGTGGCCCACGAGTATTTGGATTAGACTCCCCCTTGTCTGATATCAATGAGCGCGAGGAGCGATCCAAGAACTGATCAATGGCGCCCTGAGCAATTTCGCTAACAAGAGACGAGGTTTCCCAGGTGCAAGATTCGTAGTAGAGTCCCTTCCACTTGACGAAGTACTCGGTCTCGTCTTCGCCCATTCGAGTGCCAATAACACGCTCCACTTTGGTGTAGTCCAGAAGAGCATCGGAATCACGCTCTCGGTCCAACAGCCATTTCTCCTTCTCCTCCGGGGGTATGTCACTGCCACGGGCTATAAATATGTCCTCCAGTACTATCTTTCGGTAGTAGTTCTCAAGCCGACGGAATCCTCGCATACCAGTCAATGAGGTAGTGGTCTCCCAGGTAGCATGGTAGTGAGACTTGCCCTGCCATTTGATGAAGTATTCGAAGTCGTCCCGGCCCAGGTCGTCTTTGTGTATGTCCTGGTCTTCCTTGAGTTTGTGCTTCAGAACGACATCAATGTAGGGAGTGGTATCCTCGGTTTCGCCAACCCAATAATTCGGTGTCATCATTTCGGATTCATCCTCGAAGTCGGGTTCGCTCTCTTGGTAGGCTCCAGCGGTGACCTGCGCAGCTCTACGGCTATTCCACCGCTTTTCTTGGTACACTGGTGCCGGGTTGCCGGATTCAAGCTGGCGACGGCGATTCTTTTTGGTCGCCGTACGTGCTCGAGCACCCCCATACACGTCTGAGTCGGAGTCGGATGCTGAAGCCGAAGGTAGCACTGGTGTATTGCGTTTTGATGCTAAAGAATGTTAGTTAGCTACTGGCGACGGTGAGGGTGTAGGGTGAGGATGGCATACGAGGCTGTGATCGTTCTTGTTTCCTCCGTTTGGTACGATGGACTGGAACAACATCGGAGTCGGAATCATCGTTATTGTCATCATCATCGGACTCAATCTATCATGTGTCAGTACAGTTGCCATTTCGAGGCATGATACTGAGTAGGAGGAAGGCCTTACAATAGCTCGTTGTTGGACAGGACGGCCCTAGCACAAACGCTTAGTACAATACTCCTTAAGAAACATCGTCTGAAAGCACCTACGCTTCTTCGCAGACCGTAAAGTTCGGGATTGGCAAGCATGTGCTCGTCCTCTACTCCCAACTTCCGCTTCGCAGGACGACGTGACTCGGTGGAGGTGGATCGGTCCTCGCGTGCTGCATTCACCGGTGCTTCAGGCAGGCTGTCCTCCACATCGAAGTCGGCATCGTCGGATTCCTCTTGGGCTTCTGCGGGGGAAGACTCGGAGGCGTCTGAATCCCGAGCTCTCGTCTCGGATTGGTGACTTGAGGATGTCGCCGGTGAGGGTTCGCCGACTATGGGGTTGGCAACGTCAGAGAGGTCGGACTCGCTGTCGTAAGGGGCATCATCGTTTTCAGCGGCAGCATCGATCATCTCGGTATCGTGTCCATTGGACGAGGATGACGAGGGTCTTTGGGTGGGCATAGTTGCTGTCGGTGGTGGGGCTGAGGACGATGATGATGTTAGCAGTTGTATGAAAAAATGGCGGAGTTTTGCTATGACGCCAGAGCCCAAGGACCGCAGGAAGCTCCGGAGCACAAATGGGCGATTCAACACCCTGGGGAAGCGTGAGGCCGCAGTCCTGCAAGCGGTCTGTACCGTCGCCGGCGCATATCAAAATAGTAGAGGATGGATTTGACACAGGGCTGATGACGGTCTCGAACGGATTGTGAGGCACGGAGGATGTACGAGGCCGGCAAAAGCGTCGTGAATCATCGAGCAGGCTGGAAAGATCGAGAAGGCTTCGTAGGAGCGCTCGTATCGCGTCCCGGGACCCATTCCCGCGAGATATAAGAAGGGGTGGAGGCACTCTTGACAGGCCGTTGGAGAGCAGCCTCGAAAGGCTCTCACTTTATTTTTGGCCGTGGGCGATCGCAATGACAGAAAGAAAAGAAAACTCACCAGCCTTAGTTAGGAGGCCCCCCAGGAGGAAGAGGATGTATGCGGAGTTGAGCAATGGAAGGGATGGGGAGAAAAGGTGGTAGTTGGGATTGTCGTGTGTGATGTGGTGGAGATCCGATCTTGAGAGGGATACTGTACGGACACTGCTCTCTGCTCTGGATGGAGAGGCAATGCGGGACGCAAGAGGGTAAGGGTAGAGGTCAAGCCCCACTTTGCTAATAAGCGAGCCTAAGCAGCCAATCATACGGACTCTAAAACTGGTGGTAATATTCAATTCCGAAAACAATGAACATCTTGAATCGCTTTCTTTCCACGCTCCATATCCACGACAACACGCTCCACTTCACCAAGGCAATTTTTCCCACCTCTGACCCCAGCACCAAAACCCAGAGTGAGTGGTTCTGCGCCGAAAACCAGCGTCCGCAAAGCCTGCCGCACTCCGCGCAAGAGAAAGGGCGCGCCCTGCCAGCACCATGTCCGACAAGTTGACTCGGTACGTTATATGTTGTTTGGGGCCAAGCTGGCCTTACATAGAGCAGAGATTATACTGACAAGAGCCACCAACAACCAGTATTGCTATCATCAGCACTGACAAGGTACGCAAATCCCACGAGCCCTATCCTACCCCACCATGACCCCGCTACAAGAGATCGAATGCTAATCATGTTGTGTTGAGATAGTGCAAGCCGAAGGTATATCTTCAGTATCCTCTCCCCAGCCCAGCCTAGCCTACCCTCCCTCCCGAATCGCAGACTGAAGGTCGACAGAAATGCCGACAAGAGTGCAAGAAATCTTGCCCTGTGGTTCGGAGTGGACGTCTTTGTATCGAAGTCACTCCCGAGTCAAAGATTGCCTTTATCTCTGAGAATCTGTGTATCGGATGTGGAATCTGTCCTAAGAAATGCCCGTTTGGTGCCATCAACATCATCAATCTGCCCACGAACCTCGAATCCCAGATCACTCATCGATACTCGGCGAACAGCTTCAAGCTCCATCGATTGCCTACCCCACGTCCGGGACAGGTTTTGGGCCTGGTCGGCTCCAACGGTATAGGAAAGAGTACCGCGCTCAAGATACTGAGTGGAAAGCTGAAGCCCAACTTGGGAAGATATGATAGCCCTCCCGATTGGCAAGATGTGATCAAGCACTTCCGAGGCTCTGAGCTCCAGAGTACGTTCCCCTTTCGAGCTTCTGCTCTTGTGCCATGCTCACATCTCAGATTATTTCACCAAGATTCTAGAAGACGATCTTAAGGCTATTGTCAAGCCTCAATACGTTGACCGTATCCCCAAAGCTGTTCGAGGTGCTGACAAGACTGTGTCGACATTGATCGAGACAAATGCTTCTCTGGGAAACTTCCAAGAAGTGTTGGATGTCCTCGAGCTGAACCATATTATGGACCGTGATATCAACCTACTGTCTGGAGGAGAACTTCAAAGATTTGCCATCGGAACCGTTTGCGTCCAGCAAGCTGATGTGTATGTTGCGAATTTTCCCAGGAGAAAATGTGCCTCCGCTAATCCTTCCACAGGTACATGTTTGACGAGCCTTCTTCCTACCTTGACGTCAAGCAACGTTTGAGTGCCGCTAAGATCATTCGATCCCTCCTTCGTCCTGACGACTATGTCATCTGTGTCGAGCACGATCTTTCAGTCCTCGACTATCTCTCTGATTTCATCTGTGTTCTCTACGGAAAGCCCGCAGTCTACGGTGTTGTCACTCTTCCCGCCTCGGTCCGTGAGGGAATCAACATCTTCCTTGACGGAAACATCCCCACTGAGAATCTGCGTTTCAGAGAGGAATCTTTGACCTTTCGCATCGCAGAAGCTGCCGACGAGTTCATGGCAGATAGATCACGTGCATTCAATTATCCCTCCATGCAGAAGACCCTTGGCGGGTTCCACCTCAATATCCACAAGGGTGACTTTACCGACTCCGAGATCATTGTCATGATGGGTGAGAATGGAACTGGCAAGACCACCTTCTGTAAGCTTCTTGCTGGTGCCATCATGCCAGACGGAAACCAGAAGGTACCAGGAATGAAGGTCAGCATGAAGCCTCAGAAGATAACACCCAAGTTCGAGGGCACTGTTCGACAACTGTTCTTCAAGAAGATCAAGACTGCTTTCCTCCTGCCTCAATTCCAGACCGATGTTGTCAAGCCTTTGAAACTTGACGATTTCATCGACCAGGAGGTCAAGACTCTATCCGGTGGAGAGTTGCAACGTGTGGCTATCGTCCTCGCTCTTGGACTGCCCGCAGACATCTACCTCATCGATGAGCCCTCTGCCTACCTGGACTCTGAGCAACGTATAATCGCTGCCCGTGTCATCAAACGCTTCATCATGCATTCCAAGAAGACCGCCTTCGTCGTCGAGCATGATTTCATCATGGCCACCTACCTTGCCGACCGAGTCATCGTTTTCGATGGTCAGCCAGGAATCAGTGCCAATGCTCATACCCCCGAGTCATTGCTCACCGGCTGCAACAAGTTCTTGAAGAACCTTGATGTTACCTTCCGTCGTGACCCAACTAATTTTAGACCCCGTATCAACAAGCTCAACTCTCAACTTGATCAAGAGCAAAAGTTGACTGGCAACTATGTATGATCAAAAATTCCTTCGCCTTAGTTGACTTCTTTCTAACATACTTACCAGTTCTTCTTGGAGGACAACGAATCTTCCTCCGCAGCTGCTGCCAAATCTAGTTAAAATGGGCATCCTTAATGAAGAAACACCAACGATTGATGCATTGCGAGGCGTTAAAGGATCGGCATCACACGGGCAGGAGCACAGCGGGAAAGGGGCTTTAGAAGAGAAAAAGGGTTCTTCTGATGAGGATGACCCGGACGGATAACGATGGCGGCGGCAGTTGGGTCTCCCCATATAGTCCTGGTCCTACGCGCTGGTTGCTACCCACTTCCTTTTGTCAAAATGAATCACGGGTGGCATTTCACGGTAGATTGAGGGGACATGGGACTAAGTGGATAACTGCCGCCAGATGTGACGCAAGTCGCATCCCAAACAGATGATCGAATACGGGAAATACTCTATTGTGACATCTATGTTTTTTTCTGGCCGAGGAGGTTCTGCGTCGAGGATGCTGCTTGGAGAGTAACCAAAAGTCATACGATTTGGTAGGAGAGAACAAATACACACCGAGAAGACAACTCCTTTGATCTTTAAATCCACCTGGGCTGCGTATCTCCATCTCAACCATGCCCTTGTTAATTCCGTGGTTGGATGCCCAACTGGCCCTACCTGCCAAAGTCATCATGCCTCGTTGTGTTTAGTGTGGTCGCGATACATACATACAAAACAAAATCGCCAGTTGTTTTTGACCTCTCCCCTCATTCCTCTTCAATCTCACCTTCCTCGCTACCTGAGTGAACGGCCGGTTCCTCTTTGGCTGGGATGGGAGCTGGGGGTGTCCTAGTCCTATGGCGCCGTTCACGTGGAGGGAGTGGGGAACGCTCACGCGGTGTAACATCTCTCCTCGTCCTCTGCTTCGTGTCAGTATTACGTTCTCAGTGTAGATATTTTTATGGGGTTAAGAGCCAGCTGCTACAGCCAGCCAGCCAATATAAAAGTCATGATAAGATCCAGTCTTGTCGATTAGGGTTTGGCGGTGCAAATCCATAAAAATCCTTCCCTTTGGTTTATGTTTTTGGACGAGACAGTGGGAGAGATATATGACGAACCTTTGCCATTCGAGCGCTATCGGCACTTTCCACATCACTGTCAGTCCGTCGGCGTCGACTTCCACTAGCTGGCTTCTCATCGCCATAAGGTAACTCATCGATGCTTCCTCTAGGGTCTCCTCTCCTACGATAGAGCTTCTCCCGCTCGCTTTCCCGATCTCTCCTCTCTCGGTCATAGTGACTCAACGTCTCCTCTCGCCGGCTGCGATGCGGTCTATCGAGATCATAGTCGCGCGAACGGTCACGGTCACGGTCACCCCTGTCTCGGCGGCCAGGAGAGAGTAACGTATCGGCAACGCTGGCTCTTCGGTAGTTCTTCTCTCGGTCGGCAATTGCCTTGCGTCGATCGGCTTCGTATGCATCTGGTTCCGGGCTGCGGCTTCTTCTGCGATGGAGTCTCTCACCTCTGTCTCGACCGTGGTGACCTGATCTATCCACGGATACTCTCTCACGACGCTTTGTGCGGTCCTTCTCTGCATCCTCTTCCTTCTCTCTCAAGCGTCGAATGACCTTGTCGAATGCAGATTGCCGAAGCTCCTCATTTGGCAGCGCAAGATACTCTTCAGATCTCTCAATGCGAGGGCGAATTCTCTCGTAGCTGTCGTCAATGCGGATAGGGGGTTCAAGATGCTTGATAAATGATCTGAGAGAATCAACAGCACGACGTTGCTGACGCTCAAGTTGAACACTGTCAGCCTCATTCCGGCGTGATACCTTTTCGTGTAGCTATTGAGCGTTAGAACAGAAATTAAGATAGGGGCATCAAACGAATTACTCACCCTCTCAAAAATAAGTGCCATATCGTCTCGGTCAACGTTAGCAGTTCGTCGGTCAGTCTGCATCCAGGCAAGGAACTCCTCAAGAGTGGTCTTAAGTGAGATTTCAAACCGTTTGTCCTAGGAGGAGGTGTTAGTATGGCGTATTCAATGTGCAGATTAAAAAGTGCCTTACATCGAGAACATCCAGAACATCATTTCGAACGGTTCGTAGACCACGCTCTTCTTCTTCAACCACATCCCAGAACAAGTCTAGTGGTGTCGATCCTGACTGGCCAAGCATTGCTTGGTAGCGGTCATCTTTTGCAAGCAGGGGATATACCTGGCTCCACTTTGATCCTGCCTTGATCTTGTGCTTCTTTTTCAACTCGTGCAACAAACTTAAAAATCGATCGCGATTTTGTCGTTCCCTTCTCGACTTCATGTTCTTCTCCTGTTGGCGGGCGTCGTTGAAAGTCTTTTCCAGAGACTTGATGTGATTTTCGAAAGCAGTCAACATATCAGACTTGGTGAGTGACTTGAACTTCTGGTCTCCTGAAAAGCGTGGGTTAGACTGGATGATACCTTGCGCCTCTGACCATCTTGTATATGGCTCCAAATCAAGTCCTCTCAATATCTCCACGAGCTCGTCTGTTGCTGCTCTTCTTGTGCTTGCCTCTCGCTCAACATTGGCTTTTTTCAGTTCGATAATGTAGTCTTCGAAGAGTTGACGTCGTTCTTCGTCGTCTTTGGCGGAACGAAAGATAGTCTCTCCTTCGATGATTGGTCGGGCGGTCTTCCAACGAGTATAATGCTTGATTTCTGGATGGCTTCTCAGCATGGTTGCAAAATCTTTGCGGAGCTTTTCGATTCTCTCCTTTGCACGATCTTTCTCCTGAGCCCGCACTTCGACGGCATACTTCTCGAACGCATTCTTTCTGTCCTTCGGGTCCTTCAGGGCACGGTATTGAGGATCCTTGATGATAGATCGCATTGTCTGCTCCCATGTCCAACTCGGGTCGACATTTTGACGGCGCAAGAGTTTGAGGAACGCTGCTTCTGCTTCTTCAAAGGTAGAGTAGTCAGGGTCAGTATTGGCAGGAACGAAAGCTTGTGCGCGGCTCCCATTGACATCGTTCCCGAATGCAATTTGACGGGCTTCTCCCAGGGGTTCTCTATCTCGTGGATTTTCAAATTGCGAAGGAGCAGAAAAGCCACCTCCAGCAACAAAGGTGGGCGCAGCACTGTAGAATATCAGCACCGTGAACAAGCTGGGTACGCGGACTTGCTTACGGCGCAACTGGAGCTGAAGCGGCAGCCTCCTTGGAAAGAGCTTGCTTGTAGACATCGGGCATCTCCCATGAGCTCTGCTTCGTCTCCGTGTCATACCAGTATTTCCGGCCACCCTCTGCTGTATATTCTTTCCATGGCTGGTTCGCAAGAGCACGCTTGAGGGGTATGTCAGATCATCTGTCGCGCACATATTTAGATGAGGAATTTACCTCTGCGGGTGTCATAAGGTCCTCGGGCTTGGTCCATTGTGTAGCTTTGGTGATCGTGTTGTAGTAATAAATGCGACCGTCTGCATTTCGCGCTTCGGACCACAAAGGTGGCGCGGCAGCATGGCCGTTGATTCCGTCGGTAGAAATCATAGCGATGGTTAATGTGAAAGGAAATGGTTGGCGACGGAGAGGAAGAAGACGCAATTAAACATTTGGGAAAGCCGGAGCCCCACTAATAAGGCTAGCGCCATATTACTCAGGCAACATCGACTTCAATGTTGACTTGACTCGGAGACAGACGCTTGAGTCTGAGGCTTTCTCAATGCACAGCTAGCTCATGCGCGCAACAGCTTCCACGCAGGTCCTCCGATTCGACTTTCCGAATACCGACTGTATGAATCCCCTGTTCGGACAAGATAATGGACGAGCAGGAGAATGAAGAGACGCGGCCCCGTGTAAGTCTGGAGTTTGTGGAGAGCTCGATCCTGGATACGATCATTCCCGCCGCAAGCAATTTGAACATTGAGAAAGCCTTAAGTGGCTCAGTGGAACGGCTTGACGAGGGAGGTCACTCCCGTCTGGCAGCTATTACCCAGAGGCAGGCACTCTTTTTCGGTCAGTATTCCCAGCCAAAGTTGAAGTCATCTTTCTTACTCATTCGTAGATCCTAGATGAAACTGTCGATGCCTACGTTGTCTTGCAAACTCCATATTTCGACGAGATCACCCTAAGGTCATACCTGGGAAGACTAGTTATCAACCTCGAGGCACAGGTCGTCAACTCGAGACAGGAAGGCGATGTTGGCCCTCCAGGTCAGGAAACCATATACAGCGGCTCCATGTCGGAAAGTGAAGATCCCTTGATCATTGTGCAAGGGCCTCATAAGGCAGACTCAGATGCCAGTCAGACTCATGTTTTGATTGTGTGGAAGCTATCTGCATTCTTGGTCAGACCTAGACTACGCTTACAGAACCCATCTGTTGTGTTCTCTGCAATGGCGCATCTGAAGCCTGTCGAGCAGGTGCAAAACTCGACGCTACGAGAAGAATATTTGCCAAGTCAGGTCCCATCCGGTATCAATATATTAGAGGTCGGTCAAAAATGCTCCAGTTGGTCTTTTTCATGGACGCCCATCGTTCATCCGTCACTTTACTTATCTGGAACAGGCATTCAGCGACGATGCGGCACTGGGTGGTGTTAAGCCACGTCTATCTGCGCTGCGAGTTTCTCGAGTTGCCCCAGCAGTTCAAACAGCGAGAGAGATGATGCGCCCCCTCAAGAACACTTCCCGGCAGTCAATCAAGGTTCTTCCGGCTATAAACGCTCGCGTGAGGTACTCAAGACCGAACAGTACACCCAGCAATCCAGCAGTGATTGCATCAGTTGATGTGGACATCACCCCATTCGCTAACTGCGAGGTAACACTCCAGAAAGTGACACTCCAAATGAAAGGTGGCAATGTCGAAGACCTGAATTGCATTTCTGGCTTGTCACTACCCACAAAATCCCTGCCTCAAGATGATATCACATTCCTATACCGCCTCTGTCCGGATGACCTAGATGCGACCAATAAATCTCTAGTCCGGAGCCTCGAAATATCGGTCCAGGCACAAGCGCATCTCTCTTCAGTCTGCCAACCTACCATCTCCATGCATTGGACTACCTCTCTGGATTTCACACCCCCAGTCAATCCAGGCTTCGGAAATGCTACCCAACCAATTCAACGACCACATCGACCAACCCAGCTGTCCATCGGGTCGACGCTCGAGGCAACAGCTTCATCGCTCGCCGTCAGCCGTCCAGAGTCTCTCCCCTCACTGGACACCTTAACACGTCATCAACGCAATACATCTATTCCCGACTTTGGGGTCACCATGACCTTCACAGGACCTTCCTCTGACAAACCCATCTACCCCGGCGTACCGTTTGCCTGGTCTGTTTTTATCGTGAACCGATCTGATCGACCTCGAAAGCTTGCCTTGACGGTAATTCCTAATCGTCGACGTACCGAAACGCGTACCACTCGTCCGCCTTCAGCTGGCTACGGAAATGCTCGTAAGGATGGCAAAGTGGCCGACGCAGTTGTGGACGAGAAGATTGTCTATGCCATGCAGAAAAATGCCGCGGTCGAGACTACAGAGATAGTGTGTTTGAGTACGGATACGCGCGTAGGACCACTGGCACCTTCCGCATGCTGTGATGTCGAGTTAAAGTTTATGGCGTTGAAGGCTGGCATCGTAGGTGTGGAGGCGGTGAGAGTTGTTGATCTGGGTACACAGGAGCATGTTGACATCAGAGACTTACCGAGTATCGTGGTTTCTCCGCTAGTTGAGGATTAGCAATGCTGCAATGGACACATGATACCCTCAAAGGCGCACGAACGCTCCTTCATTCACAAGCTGGCGTTTTCCGATGGTAGTGGACTCTCCCATCGCCCATCGCTGGGTGTAAGTACACATTTCCGACTGAAAATGATGGTACCTCTACTTACTGGCGAAATTGTGTGCCAGGGTATTACGCACCTGTAGTCTCGTAGTCTCGGGGATGCCTTTCCTTATCTCTCGAAACAGGGCATTGCTTGGCCACGTAGGATTGTATCAAGATAGCCAGTGGCTCATGCTAGAATACAGCTGATCTCAGAGTTTCAACTGAACAGGGTGGGTGTCATCCTCGGAAAGCGACATGGTGACAATACGAAAGGACTGGACTGGTGACGCGGCCGGTGTTGCCCAAACCTTCCATAACGGCCGTGCTGCACATCCCACGAGAATCGTCTTGAGCAATGCGGAGCCCCCGATTGATCATTGATGATGCATTTGGCCATGGGGTAGTGGTAAATTGATACCATCCCCCGCCATGAATCCACGTCGGACCCCGTTTAGCTCCATAAATCGAAGAGCGGTGATTACTCAATGGCTTAAAGCCTTATCAACTCCAATGCACAGACGAAATAGTGGCTCAAAGATACTTTCAAGGCTGAATGAATCCTTAAAGTAATTGTACTTACTACTACAACGTACTAGTACGTACGTAGTAGTACTTGTACTACGTACTACGTTGATCGGTTTAAGACCTGGTAAGATTCCTTGCAAAATTCCACTTTCGACATGTACGTAGTACGTAGTACTACGTACCTTTTCATGGGGTGAGGGGGAGTGGGGGGTGGGGGGGAGGGGGGGAGGGGGGGAGGGGGGGAGGGGGAGAGTAAGCAAAGGCATCTTGCGGGGCCCCCACGCCCCAAGTAACATTCCAAGTCTCAAGGCAAGGCTTAAAACAGTAGGCAAGTATGTGCAGCCGAGTCTTTCCAAATTCCCCAGCGAGAGCGTAACGCCGAAAGCCCGATCCCTCGCCTTGCCAAGATTCTAGCAAGTCCCAAGGAGTTAAGGAGCAACACCTGAAACGTGGGAGCAGAGTCCAAGACGAGACCAAAAGCTACCGAGCCGATCAAAGCCGTCAATTGTTGCACAGTCAGAACTTCACATGACCGTTTGGACCCTCGCCAAGGATCTTGGGGGATCTTGGGTCGTACTCCAAGAGCTTGTCCGAGAGATGGAGAACGCTTGGCCAAACGTTGATATGGGAAAATCCCAACCCAAGATCAGCCTGGCTATTTCGGGATATCTGACAATCTTCAAACTCTGGGTCTGGGTCTTGGTGACCGTCCCGTACCGCAAGCACATCATCCACAGTCGGTCATTGCCGTAGAAGAGTTGTGTATAAAGTATGCTCCTTCCCCCGTGGACAAGAGAATCATTCTTGCAGACATACATATCTACACAGCTCTCAAACCAACCAGCAACGACAACAACAACAACAACAACAACAGGAACAGGAACCAATACCTACCTACCTACCCATCTAATACAATCTTACCCTTCATATACACTTAAACTCCCTCGCCCCAGCAAACCTCCACGGTCCACCACTTCCAACATGTCTTCCGCCGCTGATACCACCTTCTCCCACACAAGTAAGTGACTACACCCACCATGGCCTGCTCAGATATCAAGCACCTACTAACAGCACCAGGAACCTCTTCCACGGCGTCCTCCGTCTCCTCCAACGGCGGCTGGCTCGAACTCACCCCCGCCAACATCCACCGCTCGGATTCCGTGTCATCCACCTCCAGCGGCCCCTTCCTCTCCAACGCCACCCAGGCTAAGCCCAGCAGCGTCCCCAAGCCTGTGGCTTGCGATGAGGAACAGAAGCGCCTCATGCTCCTCCGCGCCAGAAACAACTAAGTCCCGACTGGGACGACCTACGATATGATGATGATGATTGTCATTTGGACGGGCAAAGCCCCCCAGCTGGATCTGAGTGTGGCAGCGGGGCAGTTTGGGCATGAGCGATTTGCGCACTCTCTTCGGATTGAGATGGGGGTTTTTTGGGTATGAACTTTACGATTGAGATTGATTGCGACTAGGGAGGTCTTGGCTAGAGGCGGCGGGAAATGGACGATAAACGGGGAATAGAGTATTGTTTTCATAGAAATTGTAATATCTCTCCCTACCTCGCCACGACTTGGTACCCCGTGCAGACTTCATCTTCCTCCATTCCCCACACATACAAGGAGACTGAATCTCAGGAACGGCCGTGGCCGAGGAAGCATAAGTGCCTACTCACAAGCGCCAAAGTACAGAAATTCTCTCGGCACTATGTGCTATGCCATCATGCTTATTGATCGCCGTATCCAAATCTCGACTCGACGCGGGTTTAAGCGAGTTGATCGACGTCGGCCAGAGTACCGAAAGTTTTGAAGTGACAAACTTTCCCTCCCTACATACCTACAGACCAGGTACGGACGGCCTGGATGCGCGCGTACTTACTACGTACGTAGTACTTGCTTACGAGTGGCCTACCATAGGGCATCGTCTCGTCGGCCCGATAGCTTTGAACATGGACTGAATAGGTACCGTACCTCGCCATCTTTCATCAGATGGGTCATCTTTCTGATCTTATTTTGAGCGCTTGCTTGCTTGCTTGCTTGCTTGCAACACACATACCAAGCTGGAGATCTGAATTCTCAAGCCGGCAAAAAAAAAAAAAAAGGAAGTCGTCGAAGACTGTGTGCACAGAGGGATGTTATTGCATCGGTTTATCCAATCGAAGAAAAGAGAGATTGGTCTTGTTCACCTCATTCATGGTCATACATACATCTCGACACTTGGGGCTAATCCAGTCTCCAGTTTCTAGCCTCCCGTCTCCAGCCTCACAACCTTCGGTTCAGATCCTCCCAATGCGCCGTCGGGATCGACCCATTACATGCCATTACATGGTGAAAACCCATGAGCCCGAAAGCGGTTATTTCATTGGAGTCAACGCCCTCGACGCCGTCGTGACCGTATTATTGAATGTCTTGATCGTACGAGACCGGACAGGGCCTTGGCTGGGCGGTCCAGAACATCCGTCCTGCTTCCCGCCAGATCTGAAGTTGCAGGAGATGACCAGGAACGCCTTCCCTCCCTGACTGAGGTTCGACTTCTGCAAAGCTTACTGGCTCGTGCAATCCAGTAAGCCAGCAAGCCAAGTCAAGCCAAGCCAGCTTTCCGGCGCGAACCTACGGTAGCCAGCAGCTCGCGAGCCTTGACGGCCCTCGGGCGCAGAGGAGCGTCTCCCGGACAGGTCGGATTGAACATTACTACGTACCGGTACTACCAAGTACTTTCAATCCACAAACTCCCCACACGGGAGGAGATCTGTCTCCGCAGGCTTGGGATCGTAGAACTTGGCGGCTGTGCTGTCACATGATGTGCCTAGTTTGAGCTCGAGCTTGAGCTGAGCTCCATAAGGTAGGTACCTGCTCCCTAGGTACGTACCATCACTCACCCTCACCGAATGTGTGCCATGTGGCGAGAAGAGTTGCCAGTGCATCACATCAACAGAAAGGAGCAAAAGTACCGTCACTCTAGTGGATCTGATATGATACGTGTCTGCATTCTGCATATAACTCTCGCCTGTCCTTCATCCAGTTCGACCGAGCAGCTATCTACCCACTCCGTCCAGTCGACCTTGGCATTGGAAGCCCGAGGGCACTTTTGGAGAGTGTGATTGTGTTTGGGGCCAGCTCTTCATTCAAAGGGGGGAGGGGGGAGGTCGCCCTCGGACCATGAAATGCCACTTTTTGAGACGATCGGCATTCGCTGACGAGGTCGCTTGCGGAGGCTTCGAGGAGGGCTCACGGATTGGCGGCTCGGGGGCCCACCTCCTCTACATAAAGCGTGCTAAAGCTGATTTCAGATTTTTCGACAGAAATGACCACGAAGCTTGAAACTAGCTGAGGAAGCTCAGGCATAGTATAGAAGATAGCATGTGAGCAAAGTGAGCCTGTCGCTACGCTGATGTCCCCTGCTTCATGATAGTGCCAGCGAAGTCTCAACGAGTAAATTGTTGAAAGGCAAGATGGTCGCGACTTGCACCAGCGGTTCCCGAGTTCAAATTTTCGTGATCCATGGGATTACGTTTCTCTTGTTGTGACCTGCGAAACACGGTGGGAAGAAAGAAGGGTGGGCTGGTGAAGCCCCCTGTCATGCCGGGAGTACCGGTAAATTCAGGATGGCCGGAACAATGGACTTCAACCTCATAACCTTCGGAACCCTCAAAAGTTGTGACGTCAAGTCTTTAGATTGGCCGGCTCGAAGCTCAATACCGATTCTGCAAATGGCGTTGTGAGGTTGCTTGAAGTGGGTGTGCCCAAATTGCCATTGCTAATATTGACAAACCGTCGAATCGCCACTTATATACACCTATGGTTCCCCAGGAGAACTACTTCGTGATGAGCACTCCAACTGGAGAATCAATCATGCCAAGCCAAGCCCTTCTAGTAGCTCGAGACTTGTAGCTTCCGCTTTGGCTTGCTCCAGCTGCCTCATGTCTCCAATACCCAGTTGCCTCGGGTAATTGGTGCGTAGGAAGTTAATCACATAGTCGGCTTCTGACTGTCGGTGATGCTCAAGCAAGAATTTGGCAGTTTCCAAACCAAGCTGGATATTAAGGCGATCATTTTCCAACTGCGCGTTACTCTTCTTCATGACATCTCTCGTTCTGTTCATACGAATGGTCGGAAAGTACCTGAGCGCTAGTTCCGGAGAGGGTTTCGTTGGATGCAGCAAGCTCAGGTATGCAAATTGACGTTCAGGATGCATCGTAGAGACAGGAACCAAGCTCAGGAATGACTCGAAACCAGCTTCACTGGGCGCTGGTCTGACGGAAGAGAATTTGATCGTTGTTTTAAATAGAAACCACTCAGGAACGCTGAGTAAATGAATCATCTCAGTAGTTGGTACACCTTGAAGATATCCAGCAGCTCTTGAAAGTGAAATATATGCCGCATCCAGATTGCAAGATTTATCTGATGCCTCGGCTCTCACAAGCATCAAAAGCGGCCCGACGATTTTGCGCCGGGCCTGAGTAAATTCCAATCCGGATAGGAGCGCCAGGGCTGGCAGGCGCTCCAGTGAGGTTTTGATCCATCCCCAAGCGGCTTCCTGTAGATTTTCTGCGACCATATATTCCATTAGAATTTGAGTGAACGCCTCGTCGTCCAAGAATTCGAGGTTTTTTGTCGTGCCGCTTGATATCAACCATTTTAATACCTTCAAACCTGCCCCCGAATCTCTCATCCCGTCCCGCACTTTGAGAACAGACGACCGGACTATCTGACGCTTCTTGGCCTGCAAGCATGCCTTTGCATAGTTCGTAGTCATCATACCTTTGGAAACGGCCTGGTCGAAAATGTCCATCGGATCTCGCGAAAGACTGACCTGACTGCCTGAGTTTCGTGAGGAGAAAAGTGGATTTGTCAAAAGAGAGTGCATATGTCGGTCTGTGGTATGCTTTTCGTGATCGGATACAGATAGTCTCCGCCGACGCGTTGGAGCGGGGGTGATATCAGTTCGAAATTGAGGGTGTTCCATGTCGAGTTGCTGCCGGAACGAGCTCGTTAGGAGGTTGAGCAGCTGTTTTGACTGGCGAGGGCTGAGTGGCAGAGGTTGATGTATCCTGAGCTTGTTCAGTACCGGCATTGGCCTGAATAGGAGTGGTTGCGAGGGCCGAAACATGGTGGCAAAAGGGGATCGATATGTCCATAGACTATCGGCCTCGTGTAGTTCGGTCTCGTTCAGACAACTTCGCCGTCGCAGGTCGCAGGTGGTCTTGAGTTCGCCACGAGCGTTCTCCCGTGTCAGGTTCTTCTCCAGTTGATACCCACGGCTACTGATATGCAGCTGTCGCAGTGATGAGCCCAATTACTAGGTCTAGCCCTCGGTGTACCAGCCCAAGCCCATGCCAGAATAGCGGTCTGTAGTTGTTCTTGCGGTAAGTAGGTCTCGTCGGGATGCGTATAGTAGATAAGTCGGCTTTTTTTCGCGTCAATACCTCACCAGCATGGAGAATGTGTGAGATTCCTGGTTGTCGTCTTGGTAGGGTGGCGATCGATAGGAATGGGAGTAGGTAGAGGGCAGCTCCCACTATTGTGACTAAGCTACAATGAGTCTTGGTGTGTCGAATATGTCACGTGTTAGGCAATCCTTGGCCAAGAGCTCCATGGTGTGAAGCTCTTGACACGCTGCCCCAAGTTGAGTAGACAATGAAGATAATAATAAAAGATCCCAATTTTTCCTCCCCTCCGACTCACCACTGCCAGCACCGGGTACCACGTCAACTGTTAGTATTGTTGTGCAGCCTCGTGGACGCAACACTAAACCAACAAACAACCCGTTCATTCACCTACCCTAAAAGCATAGCCTAGCCGACGCGACCCAGGCAAAGCTCTAGCTAGGTGAGTAAGTACCAACCTAGGTTTATTAAATTAGGTACTGTACCTTTCTTGCCCTCCTATCCTCACTCACCTGCATTTCGGTCTATTCCAGTGCCTGAGAGAAAAAGGACAAGGCAAAGGCAGGCAAGCAACAAGAACCTAGCTGATTTTACAGCGTCATTCTCACGAACTCAAACTACCACCACTTCACCTTCAACCTTGAAACCTTCAACCTTCGATCTTCAACATCCAACCATCCACCTCCAGCCCCAACCCAACCCAACTCATCCCAACCCAACTCCAAAACCCCTTCGCATAAACCTCTCCACATCTTCCCCTTTCTTTCTGCTTTCACAATACACAACCGCACACCTCGCAATGTCTGAGGTACAATCTCGCCCCGCCGCGCCTCGCGGTAGAGGCTCAGCCCGCGGTGGCCGAGGAGGCTTCTCCACCAGAGGTCGAGGAGGTGCCAGATCTCACGCAATCAACGGCGACAAGACAGATTCTGCCCCGGCATCAATTGAGGACGACGGCGAAGTAGGCCAGCTTAAGAAGAAGTATGGCAGCAAGGTCACAACCATCCAGGAGATGTTCCCCGACTGGACGGATGAGGACATCGTGTTTGCTCTTCAAGAGACCGACGGAGATCTTGAAACAACTGTCGATCGCATAACCGACGGTATGTTTCCGACACACCCAGAGACCTGCTCGAACGATTGCTGCTTGGTTTTCGTGTGAAAATCCCTTTGGCGCTGACTTGACTTCTACAGGTACAATCACTCAATGGGGAGAGGTCTCGAAGAACAAGAAAGATCGCTCCAAGTCCAAGGTCAAGGAGGTCGCAACGATCACATCTTTCGGCGACATCGCCAGCCAAACCAGAGTCGCTCGCGGCGGCCGAGCTGGATTTGACGGGACTAGAGGAGGCCGTGGTCGCGCTACGGAGCGAGGAGGTCGAGGTGGACGAGTTCGCGCACCAACAAATGGCGCCCGCAAAGAAAACATTGGCGAGGCATCTCTCACCACCGAGGCGCCTGCATGGGAAACCGTACCGGCTGCTGAATCATCTTGGGATACTCCAAAGGCAACTGAAGGAAGCTGGGATACTACAAAGCCAGCCATCGAAGAATCATGGGGCTCAACTGCCGCGGAGGCTGTGAGCGCGACTGCTGCAGTGGCTGCCAAGGCAACTTCGAGCGTTATTCCAGAAGGCGTAAAGAAGAGTTGGGCTAGCATTTTCGCCCCTCCTCCCGTTCCAAAGAAGGCACCAGAGCCAGTAGTTGAGAAGTATGCTGCCTCTGCGATGAGTAGAGTTTTAACTGATCAATTCCCTAGGCCCGCTGAACTTACCAAGGTCCAAGCACCCGTCGAAGCCCCCGTCCCAGAACCCAAAGTATCGATTCCGGAACCAGCCGCTGTCGAAGCCGTCGAGACACCCCCCGTTCAAGAAGTTGCTACCCCAGAGCCCGAAGTTCAAATTACACCATCAAAGGACGAATTGACGGAGGATAATCTTGAGCAACTCCCAGATGTTTCGGCCCCCGCCCCGACAGCGACTGCCGCAAGCACCGCAGCTAGCTCTTGGGATCCTCGAAGTGCCGCTGCTACACCATTCTCTAACCTCCAAAGCCAACCTCAAGCTATCCGACCACCAACCAGTGGATTCCAAGCATCTGCTTTGAAGGCGACAGGTGCGTCTGGACGGACCCCGAGCTATCAACGCCGAGTTCTTGACCAAGAGGAGGCTGTGCGCATGCCAGGAAATCGTGAGGTCGACCGAACTGCTGTCCAGTTTGGCGCCTTCAACCTGAATGGATCTGGAGATGAGGATGTGGATGGAGATCGCGAGGAGGCCGAGACTCGTGCGCAACCTCCCCAGCACTCCCCAGTAGCCCCAAGAGCTGCTCTTCCTCCCGTACTCGCACAAGCTGCACCTGTCCCCGAGAGCCTGCCAACAGCAAAGCAGTCCAGTGGTCTGCCAGCAGCAACTCACCCAACAGCTGCCCCAGGTCTCCCATCTCCTGCACCTCTCTCCAGCGCCCAAGCTACTTCTCAACAGGGTCCTCAAGGAAACGGCCAATACAGCGCATACGGACGTTATGGCCCAGCAGGTACCCAGGAGTCTTCGTTGCCTCCAAAGCCATATGATGCGTTCAGTCAACAAGCTCCATCCAGCCAAAGCCCATTCGAAGGCTATCCCTCTCAACAATCTCAGTCTCAGCCACAATCTGGGGCTTTCACCTCCGCGCCTAACGAATTCTCTTCCTACTACACTGCTGATCCTCAACAGCAACGCAACGCTTATAACAGCTACTATAACCATCAACAATACGGTGCACAGCAAGGCTCCCAAGCTCAAGATGGTCCTGCTTCACAGCAACGTGGTTACCCGGGATACAACGGCCCCCAAGCTGAGAACTCTTCCCAATTCCCCCAAAGTGCTGCTCAAGGTACCCAGTCGCGCTACGCAACAGCTGGTGAGGGACAGAACAGTGGACACAGCACCCCCAATCCAATCGCTCAAAGCCAGCACCCAGCAGCTTCTCAAGGTTCTCAACCCCAGCCAGGCCACCAACAGCAACCCCAAGCCGGAAACTACCCGTACAACCACCCATACTACCAGAGCCCTTACTACGCTGCTTGGAACCAATACCAGCAATACGGCGGTGGCAACTATCCTGGAGCTCCATACGGCGCAAAAGCTGGGCATCAACAGCCATACCAGGGCTACGGTATGTCTCCAAATGCTCCATATGAGCACACTGCATCTCCTGCTGCGGGTGGTTTCGGAGCTTCTTCTCTGCATGGCCGTGAGAGCGCGCTTGGAGGATTGTCTGATTACGGCCGTGCTGGTTCAGCTCAGGCAGCTCCAACCCCACAGGCACTTGGAGGCGGTGGAGCTTTTGGTGGACATGATGCTTTCGGTCGTGGATCTTCCTACCAAGGTCAAGGACAGCAGCATTACAACGGCCAACAGGGTGCTCAGCCAGGCACTGGTGATGACTTGAAGCCATTTGGTGACTCAAAAACAGCGAATGGCCCCAGCCCATCTCTCTCTCAAGCTGGACGACCAGGATCCGCGACAAACACTACCTCTGGATCAGCTCTTCCTCAAACCCAAAATCCGACTGGTTACGGTGGCTACCCAGCTCACCTCCAACAACCCGGCCAGGGACTTCACGCCAACCAAACCGGTAGTGGATACGGAGGTCTCGGTGGTACCGGCCACCAGGCTGGGGGTCAAGGACACCAGAACAGCCAATACGGAGCCTACCAAGGTTTCGGTGGCAACAACTACTACGGCAATAGCCAACAGCGTGGAGGATGGGGCGGCAACTACGGACACTAATCTGACTATGTTTGTAGCTGCACGTCCTTGGCAGATCCTTGCCGCCTCGTCCAAATGGGGTTGTGATATTCTCGCCAACACTGTGTTACTACTACGATCAACTTTTCTCCTTCAATTCTGCTATATTGCAGCCTTTGATATGCGATCTGGACTGGGAATTGGGAATGAAAGTTGAATTTGGTCGACCTGAAATCGCGTTTCGCTGGAGGCTTCGGGGATCTTGCCGGCGCGCCACCATAATGCAACCAACACTGTTTTCAAATATTTTCTCCTCATCACGTCTCCCTTTTTTACGTCACCCTCTGTCAAACCCGAAGGCACATCGGGGAGGGATACTGCTGCGAGAATCTACACTACACCTTTGACTTCCAAAAAGCAAAGCATCTGTCTGCCACGTCCTGGATGGAATGGAATGGGAGCCTGGAATTTGAATTTTTTTGCCTGGGGTTTGGCTGACGGCGAAGCTGGTGGAGGCCACACGTGTATTCCAACTGCTGGTGTTAGTAGTGATTGATTGGGTCAAAACGAATGGAATGATCTGCAGAGATAGAGTCTGCGTTGAAATGATGGCTTTACTTCTTCAGCTTGTGAATTGTGACATGATCCTCAGAGCGATTGATTTGCTTCTGTCCCGATATTTTCCTAGGACATTAATTCGCCGTTAGGTATGCGCAAGGCAAGTACATTTACTCCATTTCGGTAAGCGACGTTTTGATGATGACACTTAGGTGGGAGGATCATTGTCCCAAAAGAGAGGTTAGCATTTGCCTCTACTAGATTGAAGTGCGACTATCAAGTGCCAGGACTAGAGACAATCTGGTCGAGGATTTGCGCAGGGCTCAATCAACTTTCCTATATGAAACATCTGGCATCGCACATTTCCCTTACTGTGTACGCTCACTATGTATGCATAGATATCGAAACATTCCACGGAGAAGCATCAAGTCTAAGCGTTTTGTTATTTGCTATTTACGTGCACGCTGCTTGCTTGTATACAGATGATCTTTGCATCGGCCAAAGATTTCCCATGCCTCGACATTAGTAGGTATAGCATGGTTGCACATACCTCAACATCTAAAACTGAACGCCGCTTTATGCTAGCCAATATTTCCTTTGTGCACGTAAAATAAAACAGAAGAGCCGGGCCGTAGAAATCATAATCGAATGGAAATCATTGGAAGGAGACGAAGCTATTCGCAAAGTCGGTGTATTGGGAGATCGTGAGGGGACGTAGATGTCAGAAAATAGTGGATTAGACACATAATTAATTGACTATTCTCATGACCTGCAGTACGCAAGGCACTTTTCTTCTTGTTGTAATGGCCAATTCTATCACAAGCAGAATGGGAGTAAGGCGTCGCCAGCTTCTGATTTCTCTTAGCTTTGATCTCAAGTCTCTCAAGGGGCGCTATGGTCAGCTGTCGTGCTAAGAGAAGCTCTTCAGGCTGATCTGATCTGGGATTCTGAGGCGCTAATCGAGCTTGGGCTTCGTGATTTCGGTGATTCGCGCTAAAGCGGCGGGGTACTTAATCGCGTCGCATCTCAATGTTTTTTTTTTTTTTTTGAAATTTAAAACCTCCCATGAACTCCAACCAAACCAACATCTCGAGCTACCAATCGCTTTCCACCTAACCGCATTGCCACAACAAGAAAATACCGAATAAGTACTGAGCAACAGAAGAGCACCCGAAAATACCAACACTATCACCAACATGGAACGCGAACGCGACCACGCGATCTCTCACCGACGAGGTAGATGGCTCCAGGGCAGTCCAAGTCCAGCACCGCGACCCAGGGCCCAGAGCAAGGAGGAATTGGATGTCATGTACGCCGAGATTGACGCGAGGAAAGCGAGGTTCGAGCGAAGGATGGCTGTACATGAGAGAACCAAGCACATACCACGCTTCGTTAAACGGCCTCCCGTAGAGGACTACGAGACCCAAGGCGCATTTTCCCGCAATTACAATCACGGACGACCAAGGACCGCGCCATCTCCGACAAGTTCCGCCGATAGTACCAACACAGGGAGTTTTGACGCGGGTGTTGACCGCTCGCGCTCTGAGTTGTTCGACCCCGATATACCTCTCAACATCCCCAAGGCCTGGTCGAAGTCTAAACCATACCCGAATTGGGCTCAGAATACTATGAGAGAGTCGGTAGCGGCGAGTGCGGCAGAGGCGAGGACGGGTGTAGGATCGAAAGATCCTTCAGCAGTTTCAGAGGATAGGTTCCAGCAATCGAATGCTGACGTTTCTCTCCGATCGATTGACCATGGCACGTCTGATCGGAAACGAACGTCACAATGGCGATCATCATCGCCACAGAAAAACCACGAGTATCGAGGAAGAAGCCCAGAGAGAAGCAGGATATGGGATGCAGATGTTGATTTTACAGCTCGCTCGTTGCAGTTGGAGATGAGCCCAATGCTTCGGATTAAGCCTGTGAGCAGACTCGAGGAGATTCGAGAGCGAGAGATACAAGACCTGTCGGCACGCGCTGTCGCGACCGACAGGCTGGAGGAGATTAAAGGCCGCAATTCGGAGGAAAGGAGTTTGAAAGAAGAAACTCCAGTCCCCGAATCAAGGGAGCCCAAAGAGGAGATTTATTGCGAGAGGACAATTCTTGAGGAGGAAGGATATCCAATCCCGGGCACACCAATCACGGTTTTCCCAAACAACTCTTATCCACATCGCAGCAACAGCAATCACAAGCGCGAAGATTCATACGATACTCTTCGGAAGCTCTCTAGACTTCTGAGTCAAAGTCCTGGCCCATACAGGCGCCGAGAGGAGGAGCATGAAGAGCATGAAGGGGATGAAGAGGACGAAGGGGACGAAGGGGATAAAGAAAAGGAGGATGAGTATGCGGAGGAGAGGAGGAGGCTCATAGACACAAGAGCAGTGAGAGTGTCAGAGAAGACTGCAATGGCAGTAGAGATATCGGAGAAGCGCGCCCAATCGCCCAGGCCTAACCCAGAGAAGCAGGCTGGAGAGAAGCAAGCTGAGAAAGAAGCTGAGGCTCCATTAGAGAAGCAATCGGGCAGGCTTCAAGAGAGAATTAACGGCCTATCACATAACAATTCACGAAGAAGATGGTCACGAATTGGGGCTGGATTCCCAATAGATTCGCCAAGGAAGCGCGGAAGCACTGCCAGCACCCCCCCAAAGTTAGATGCCGACCCGGAGGAGCGCATCAGCGCAGAACCCAAACTATCTGAACTTCAAGAGAATCTTTCAGAAAAAAATCTCATCACGGTACCGTCCCGATCAACTTTCCGTTTCGATGGTGGACATCTCGATGAAACGCCTAGACCAAAGGCAGGCCCTTTGTCGCTTCCCACCCCAAGAGTGACCGGCGCATTCATCGAAACACCCGCACCTTCCCGCGATACAGAGAGCCAGCAATCTACCTCGCCTTCTCACGAACTTTTTGATCCCGTAGCTCTTACAACTTCAGCATCGGAGAGCCAACAATCCCCAAAAAACAGCGGAGATAGCACTGCACTGCAACAAGTCGAAAAACCAAAAATCCGAGCACCGGATATTCCACATCCATCTGCAAACGTACCACAACACGCGCGAACACAGAGTCCGCCCCGAGGCGTCTCTTTGAATCGAGAGGTCACCGAACGTGAACTTGGCCGATTCTCACGTCCGCCTCTCGTCAATACAGCGAAGGTTTCGACTGCTGCGGAGGATCTACGACGGCTCGAAATTGAGGCCGGTATCGAAGACTCTACGCTGGACAATTTCGAGACGCTTTATAAGCACGATACGGCACACAAAGAGAGCATAATACGAAACTCGAACCCTGAACCACTCTTGGTCCCTCTACACATCGACCCGAAAATACTGTTGTCTGCGGAAGAGAGAGAGCGACAGATTGAGCTTCTGATCTGGGCGCGAATGGAGCAGCGATTGCGGAACACATCTACAAGTATCCGGGATGCTAAACACGGCATCGAACGGTTAGAACAACAAGTATCGGCAGTTCACGATCTGCCAAGTACTGTACTGCCGAGTAAGCCCTCCGATGGGAGCTCTCATCACATTAAAATTCAAATCGACATGAAGCTTCCTCGACTCTGGACCAAAAAACCTGTTGCGGTCACCGGCTCTCCTCCGCAAGCACGAGGTCGCTTCGCCAGCTTTGGTCCGAGCAGAAACTGGAAATTCACATGGCTTGGTTTAATTCTTGTCATCTTTTTCGCTTGGTTCACGGCCGAATGGACGATGTGCGAGATATATTGCCACCCCTTGGCCTCGACCAAGAACACCTGGCAGCCTACTGATCCATTCTTCCCCTGGGCCATCCCCACCAAATTGGATCAGTGGACTGGGGAAATTGCGAGTAGTGCTCTTTATGGGGTCAAAGAGAGACTGGATAACTGGCGCGACCCTGAGGGCTTACGATATAAGCGGCTTCACTACCACCCGTACGGTGGTGGAGCGAATGACTGGTGGCTTGGGAGAGGTGCCCCAATGGAAGTGTTTAAGTCGGACACAAGGGATTCGAGCATTTTTAACGACGATTATGACTGAACGATTGATGACTGATTGGGATTAGCGTGACTTTTGGGGCCTCTCTGAAGTGAATAACTCGGGCCAAAGAGTAGGAAATTGGCGTTGGACATTACCTGTATGGATAGTAACTGCCGTTAGAAGTGCATAACTCCGGCTCCCTACGAATTAATCATAAATAAACATTGCATCTGACTTCGGGTATGTGACTTCTTAACACTGTTCGACAGTTTGTACAGGTATCGGAAGATCTACCTTCTGAACCGTGGAGTACTTTTCTTCGTGCTCAGTCGCCGAGGAATACAAGTGGCCTGGCACTGCCGCCGGATGAATCAGGAATACCTCAATTACGCGACTGATATTTCAGCCAGAGGCTCTCTTTTGAGTCCATTCTCTTCTCTCTCTTATTTTTTTCTCTTCTTCTCCGATGTTGCTAACCCTTGGACGCATGCCTTTTTCCAACCGCAAACGAATCATTCGGCGACTTCGATGGACGTGCGTAGGATTTCGAGAAGGTTGAAAAGGAAAATTGGGGAGTTAAAGTAGATGACAGCATTGGAAAGCGTTATTTTTATCTCTTTTGCGTTTATGATTGATCGTGCGTCGTCCTGTTGCGGTGCTGGTTTCATGCCGGAAGTTTAGGATACTTGATGGAAGCGAGGGGCTCTGCCAGATTGTAAACTGTAGCTGCGCTGGTTATGAAATGTACTACGTATCAGGTGTTGCTGGTGATCTTTTTCTGGGTTCTGGAGGATGGTCCTGATTGGACAGATAGATGGATGGATAGTTCCGGATGGTCAAGCGAGTGTAGATAGAGACTCGCTTGATTTATACGATGTGAGTAGGGAAAAGTCTATACTATTGGAAGCCGAGGTTTTCTGTCATCTTCTAAAAGGATGTTTGGCAAGTATATTCGACCTATGATGGTTAGAGGTCTTCTCGGTGGTATCTCTCTTCTGGTCTGGGCCTATTCATTTGAGAGCGAGCAATTTGAGTCCTCAGCTAGATTTACTGCCTCGAATGAGGAGCGCCAACCGTAAAAGATTGGTTAGAAGTGCATTATCAGTAGGTTGGGGGAAAATGGGCATGATAACTAGATGGAGCGAGCGAGCCCTTCTGATGTCTGGTGATGAGATTGATGGGAGGGGGGATGGTGTGGTGTTTAGAGCAGCCGTTCAGAAGTGACAGAATCGGACTAGGGAGTTTGAGAGGTGCAAATAATAGCCAAATTACCTGAGTTGACTCAGAAAGAGCGCCGCTTGACCCGACATCAGTGGTTTGCTTTACGACGTACAGGTGAAGAGAATGTAAACAATCGGAGTTTAAGCGAGAGCGGGGTGAGTTGAGCTTGGTAGAGCGAAAAGGTCGCCTCAACATCTCTATTCTATCTATGAGCCTATTGAATCCACATGGGATTGGGTTGAATGGTTTACGAGCCTCGTTCTGAATGCCAACAGCTCTCTATTTGTACATACATTCCACTTTTCTCGGGCTCTACAATTTTAAGGGTAGCGCTCCGCCTCGGGTACGTACCGAAGCTGCGAATTGTTTGCTCGACGAGACCGCTATACTTCAACCCTTCTCGATTCTTTCTTGCTGTTCTCTTTATTAATCCACTTTTTTTTAAGCCACAGTAATTCATCTCGGACTGTAGTTGGTCATCGACGCTCATCTCAGGGGCCAGAAACCCCCCAAAATCATCCTTCTGATGATACGTATATTCAAATAGCCAGCGATCATATATACCAAACATAGCTTTATCCTCATATATATAGCAAGGTACTGAGTAAATCTCTAAAAGGAATTTTTTGGGTGGGATTTTTTTTTAAAAAAAAAAGCTCAAAAACTGAATTCGTCAAAGAAGTTTGAGAAGCGGCCTCAAGAAGAAAACCTTATAGCCGACTTCTTCTCAAGCCGTCACTCGATAACTATCCCGCTCTTCTCTTCCTAGAGACCGTCTGAGCCAAGCTAAGCTGGACCATTGAATGGGACAGTGGAGCAGTGAGACGGCGGCTCACAGCGTCAGGGTCTCTCGTTCGGAAATTGGGAGATCCGGAGGGTCTTCAGAAAGAGACCAAGATTCGTTGACTACACGCTAACTGGTCCTTTCACATCACATACTTCGTCAAATATATTCGAGGGTAGTTACTTATTTACAGTTGGTATAAAGGACATTCGAATCGCTCGAGCGCTGGCTTTTGATTTTCTCTCCCTTACTCTCCTCCCCTTCTATAGGCTTAATATGACGGGAGACCTCAAGATCGAAAATATGTATACGTACACCACCTATACACCCCGCGCCGATAATCAAAAATGCAAACCTAATGAGAATATTAAAAGCTATAATAAAAAAACCGAGATGGAACTTCTCCCCGAAGACGAACTAACTTTAGTCTTGACTGACTAGCACAGGTTTTGATTCTTTAGGTGGTTTTCTTCTCATTTTTCTACTTTACCATAAGTCTCCCTCCCCCAAGCCTCTGATACCGGACTGCGTGGCAACCTAATAATGAATTCAGAGAGCCTCTCTCCCCTATTCGACCGGAGAATCATGAACTCAATCTTCCCATTCAAAGTTAAATCTATATGCATTTCAGAAAGGGTGCGTCGATACTGCCCCCTCTCGTTCTCATCTTGCGCATCCACAGTAGGGCTACCAAGTTTCAAGGCATACCGACTGACAGATGTGAGAATTTAATGGCATTTTTGCTCATCGCCTACCCACGTATAGCTAATCTAGAAGTACGATGCGATAACCCGCCAATGCAATCTACATTTCATGTCAATAATGTCATTCCCAAGAACCCCAACGCCGCCTCCCCCCGTCCACCATTCCATCACTTTGCTGGCGCAGGTGCAGGCACCGAACCAGCAGCCTGACTCTGCACCGCCTTGGCCTTCGCCTCATCAAAACGCCAAATCCCACCTGTCTTATCAGGTTCCGGCGACAACCCGATAGCCGGACCCAGCGTATTCAGCACCTCATCTGAATCCTGCTTTGTAAAGTAACGTCTCATCCACTGCCTCCCCTCAGCTGCCTCCTGCCGTCTAAGTTCACGCTGCGACTCCTCAATCTTTGTCTTCTCTACGCCCGTCGTATCCATATCACCCACAGCAATTCCAGCCGCAACTTTCTGCCATGCCTTGCGAGATTCCATCGGGTCTTGCGCCTCAATAGGAGCAATTGTCAGGGGGGTCGTGGGGGATGTCTCCGCGTTATAAGTATCGATGACGTTTTTCTTCCCCTCCATGATGTCGAAAGATTTCGTCCACTGGCCCGCTACGGTATACAACACCTCCTTCTCCTTACCCGTCGGGTATAGCATAGCCGTGAAGCTATTCTTCTTGCCTGACAGCCATCCCTTCCCGCTGTAGTCGATCTTGGCGGTGTATCCTGAACTACTAGTGATGTACGACTTGTCGTTCAATTCAACGAAAGGAGACCCGAAGATAAGACCTTCGATGTGCAAGTTTGGCAGGCTTATGAGATAGGTTTCATTGAAGGCTGGTATCGATAATACGGCGTGCCCGATTTGCTTGACGTATATTGTGCGTGCGAAAGAGGCCTTCTGGGCGTTGTAGCCTTGGAGGTAGACGCCGTGTTCCTTGTTCGAGATGTGGTATGCGGTGGCTGGAGGATGGTGACTGGAAATCAACAGTTAGGAATGGATATCCGCCAATGAGCAGGTATTGACTTACCTGACTTGCTCAGATATCAACTCCGTAGTCCCAGCAGAATCCACCCACTTGCCCAGGAACAGCTCTCCCAAAAAAGGGTTCAAGGGCTTCTTCTCGTTGCCAAACTTCTCGCTGCGACTGGCATACTGCTGCTTGAGTGTGCTCAAGAACCACTTCAGGACCAGCAGCGCGCGCTTCTGAGGGTCCTTTTCCTTGGCGGGGGCGACGAAGGTGGAGGGATGCTCGGCCCAGTAACTCGAGAACTCAACGAGGGACGTCGAGGAAAGGATGAAAGGAGGAGCTGTCAGGGACGAGAGGTCGCCAGAGAACGAAGCAATAGACTTCAAGAATGCACTCCATGAGCCTTTGTTCTGCGCAGAGACGCCGCCTGCTTCTTTCTCACCGGAAGACATCTTCGTATGGGGAGGGTTGAATTGGGGGGGTTGCTTGACGGGGAAGCTTCTGCTATAACGGTTGCTCGCAGGAGCTGTGCTGTGCTGTGCTGCTGGATCGTGCGTGCTGGGGAGATACGGGTCGGACTTGGGATGATTTCAGAAGATCAGAATGTCGAGAAGAATGTGTTTTACAGTAGAACTTGGGATGCGGTAGGAAGAAAGGATGTCGTACATGTAAACAAGGTTGGGCAGGGGCGTTGGCCCACAGGTGACGACGACGACGACGGCGATCAACCCATGTGCCTGAATCACGTGATACCAAGTGCTTGGAAGGGTCATGGGGGTGTAATTTTCGACGATAGACACCAAAGTCACAAGTACAGCTGGGATTTTTAGGTGATACAGCTTGTCATTTAATCCGTCCCCTATGCCCCTTTTGCTCGAAGCTATGTATGTACTTTCAATTTCCACTCGCCAATCAACACCATAACCATCCTTCCGATTGACCCAAGCACTATGAAAGATGGTCAACAATCATCACGCAAACGAAAAGCACACTCATAGTTGGCCGGCAGTGTTGAAGTCCTTGAGGCCCTCAGCAACACGGGCAGACATCGTCTTCTCGCCCTCGCGGACCCAAACACGGGGATCAAAGTACTTCTTGTTTGGCTTATCCTCTCCATCAGGGTTACCAACTTGAGCCATGAGGTAGTCCTTCTTGTTCAAGACGTCTGGAAATTGTCAGTGTTAAACAAGCCCGGTGGATAAAGTTTTTTGTCTCGAGGAAGAATCGTCTCAAAGGGGCGAGTCCCACTGGGCGCAATCCTCAAGGCAAAAGAAGAATACTTACAGTCTCTGATGCCGGTAAGGTAGGCGTATTGGAGATCAGTGTCAAGATTGACCTTGACAACACCATAGCTGATAGCATCCGAGAACTCCTTCTTCGAAGATCCAGATCCTCCGTGGAAGACCAAGAAGACTGGCTTCTCCTCCTTAGCTCCAATGGCATCCTTGACGAACTTCTGGTGCTTGCCAAGGAGCTCTGGGTGCAACTTGACGTTTCCTGGCTTATAGACACCGTGAACGTTTCCGAAACCAGCGGCAATGGAGAAGTAGGGGGAGATCGGGGAAAGGGCCTTGTAGATGGCAAGAATGTCCTCTGGTTGGGTGTAGAGAGAGTTGTTGTCGACATCCTCGTTGTTGACACCATCCTCCTCACCACCAGTGATACCAATTTCCTAAATCGAATACGTTAGCCCTGGATATTAGCTCGTATTACTGTAACCTACCATCTCGAGCCATTGCTTCATTGGGGCAGCACGCTTCAGATACTTGGCAGTGGTCTCGATGTTGTATTCGACCTCCTCCTCGCTCAAATCGATCATGTGGCTGGAGAACAGGGGCTCGCCGTGAGCCTTGAAGTAGGCCTCATCGGCATCCATAAGACCGTCCAACCACGGGAGAAGCTTCTTAGCACAGTGATCGGTGTGCAAGATAACCGGGACACCGTAAATGGGAGCGATGGCACGGATGTAGTGGGCAGCAGCAATACCACCGGCAATCGAGGCCTCTTGATCCTTATTACCAACACCCTAGCAAGATGTTGTGTCAGAATCTTCCTCTATACAACACGAGTTTTCTAATGTATTGCACGGTACCTTTCCTGCGAAGTATGCGGCGCCACCCTGGGACATCTGGAGGATGATCGGGGCCTTAGCATCGCGGGCAGCCTCGAGGGAAGCAATGACGGTCGAGGAGGAGGTGCAGTTGATAGCTGGAATGGCGAAGTTGTGCTCCTGCGCGCTGCGACCCATTAGCAGAAGACAAATATCGATGCGGTAGGAAAAGCTCTTACTAGTTGAAGAGCTTCAAGACATCATCTCCAACGATCACACCGGACTTGCGGCTAAGGACGTCGGTGGCTCCCATGTTTACGATTGCTGATGTTGTGGAGGGGTATCTGCAGATTTGGTAGGTGATGTCAGAAAAAGTATTGAAATTATTTTGGAGGTGGAGAAGTTGCTTTCATAAGACGGGATGGATAGCTGACTTGGTAGTATGGTATGGTGTTTGATGTTTTTAGTTTGGCGGTTGTGCTCCCAAACTGTTGTCGGACAGTTAAGGAAGGATACGTGCAAGTCCAAGGACAAGGTTGTTGGAAAAACAACAAGAGAAAGATTTCAAATTAGGGGATGTTCTGTGTTGTTTGCTTGCTGTAAGACCGAGGTTTTATTGAATCGAGGGTGCAGAAGGAGGGGTTCCTTCGTGTAAAGCTGAGATCCGTTTGGTGGGGTACTAGAGTAGGTAATCGTCGGCTGGCTCGCTTAGGTGGGGCCGCCCTCCATTCATCCTTTCAGTCTAGCGAGCCCGGAGCCGACGATTATTTGGCGTCATGTGGCAGACCTGTACCTCGCCGAGGGCTTCCCACTTGCTTCCGAATCCACATCGTCCATTGCCTTGGTATTTCTGCCTTTGGTATACCTTAAGGAATGGCTTGGGAGGGACCAAATAAGGATATATCCAAGGATCCTTAGATATGTCGAAAAGTGGAGCTACCCGCCATACAGAAGAAGGATTTATAATCCTTCTTCCCTATGGTTTTGAAGTGCAGGATTTCATAGAGAGGCGCTATTATCATCGGTCTCATTTCGGAGCGTAGGGTCGTTCTTCCATTCCATCATGAAGGCTATATTCAAAATCACAACATGGGATAAAAGAATTATCTACGGATTTCATCACATACCTTACTGAAGATAGCGAATCAAAAGATTTTTCATTCATGAAACCCCTATCCAGTCCCAGATTTACAACGATGCTTCTCCAACTAAGTGAATTCATTCTTATCAATAGGGCTCCAAATATCGATCACTGGAAAACAAGGACATCAACGAAACATCCTCATGGCGCGGGTCTACTGTGAAATCCGAGTAATAAAGCAACGCAAAATTGATCATAAAGAACTTCTCGCACCTCCACCAAATAAGCAGTGGGCTCTGTCCATATGACCAGACGAAGTAAAGCGCACGAGGCTTGGCAGTGTAGTATGTCACACTTGGTATGAAGCGGATCGACGAGTGGGTACCGGTAGTCCTCATGACATTCCACATCTCAGACACCAGAAATGATCAGCATTGAGGAACTATCCACGGGCAACTAAGCTCAGTGTGCTGCTGTGGGCCGTATACATACAGACCTATGAGGATTCCAGCGTTGCCGCGAAACGGAGGCAGCTGGGCGGCAACGTTGGGGATGACTTGACATGAATAACCTAGGAACATCATAGGGTATCGAGACCTTGAAATGGGCTTCCACGGGCAGGAAGACAAGCATCTGCTATCCAGATCAGCCATGTCCCCAGATGGACACTTACCTACCTAGCATACCCAGACATCATATCCAGCAGCTCTGAGGGTGGAATCTCTGTGATATTACATCCCCAGTAGGCATTTGTACAACGATATCGATAAACACAGCTCAACCCTGAGCATTGACCTTGATGGTCCTTCGTACAGACTCGGTTGCCCCGTCCAGCTGAATGTCGATCTCGAACACTCCAAGGTGCTTCACTCGGTCTTTCTCCTCTGTCTCCCCCACAAATGATATATTCTCGGGCGACAATACAATCCGTACCCCTTCTTCATCTTCCGCCAGAACGGCCTTGAGATTTGCGGCAATATCACTGGTAGATACAGAGCCGTAGATGTTTTCCTTTCCGGGTGTTGATAGCTTGCTGTTATTCGCTGCAGCCCTGGAAGTGGCTGAAGAGGAAGGGATGGATGGGGAGATTCTCTGAGCTGGTGCTTCTAGGGTGATAACGGTACGGTAGAAATCGAGGTTTGCTGGGAGTAGCTGGTCGAGCAGCGTCGTTGCTTGTTCGGGCTGTGGCGAAATTAGCAATTTTTTCGCAGCCACAACTCCGAAGAATCTTACGTTGAGAAGCTCTAGCTCAACTATTGGAGCAGGCCCATCCTCCTGTTCAGATATTGTTTGTGAAAGGGGCTCTGATTCCTCTCCTTCCCCGTCGTTACTCTGTTCTTTCTCCAACTGTCTCTCGAGCTTCCTCTCCGCGTTGGACCGGAAAGTGGAATCCCGCTCCACTACAGCATCCTTCTTTACCCCAAGCTCTTTGATCTTTTGTAGGGTGAGGTACTCGGCCATCTTCTTTGGGAACCAGATATTCCGCATCACACCAGGAGGAACCTGGATGACGGAGCCTGTTTGCAGTCAGCTCAGGTCCGCGGAAGCATGATGAAGTCTCCATTACCTCTCTTGCCATAGCCAGGAATGTTCTGCAGCAGGTGGACCTTCACCGTCGATACTTTCGCAAGATTTTTTTTCCCCCGTATGTGCTGGCCTGCAGAGAAGTGAAAAGCTTCACCTAAGCTGCTTGTGACGCGCCGAATGCACGACAAGCATTGGGGAGCTTTGGAGACGAATGGCGAAGCCATTGGACAGGATATTGTCGGACAAGCGCCTGCAGGAAATCACCCAAGATGCGATTGTCGAAGGGTTGGTTCCATAATCAAATGTACACCCAAACAAGCCTCGTCGCGTACCGTATTCATGAGCTCTAAAAAGTCGGCGCCAAGCCCACTCGGCTGATAACAATACGGACGGAGTATGCGATTAGACACGGGGGAGATTCGGTTTTATGCATGAATCAGATGGCAGCTGGCAACGAAACTTCTACCATACAAGGAATCTTTTGGCAGGTGTCTTATTTTCCTAATGCCATCCTTGTTTATCTAAGGTACGGAGTAGAAGTAGAGCTTCTCAATTTAATACACACCTTGTCTGCACCAAGTTTACATTTGTTGGTTTTCAGTACGTTTGCTCGCTCCCTGGAAATCAGCTATTACTTGGACCATCACTTGGGACAAAAAAAAAAAAAGGCCAGGATTCCTCTACAAAGTCTGGGTATTCCCCTGTAGCCCACATTCATCACATTCAACATCACACCACCCGCTGGAATTGCGTTATGCTATCGAGATTATAGAAGTAGAGTATGCTCGCGCTCCCAAGAGCTCCGGGACCCTTCGTTCTCTTTCTCCGCGTACCTCCTTCTCCTCGACATGCCGGATAAGCCGCTCAGAATAGCCTCCTACGCAGCTGGGGCGTCACTAGCAGCCATTACACTCGTTTACGTCTTTGCGCCTACTTTTTTCATCGATGGAGACTCGGCGACCACTTCCGCCAGCTCGCGGAAGAAGACGGTGGTTGGGCTGTCCAACCCGGCGAACGATTGCTTCATAAACTCGGTCCTCCAAGCGCTGGCAGGGCTGGGGGACTTACGAGTATATCTCATCCGGGAGACGTATCGACGGAAACTCGATGGGGCACACGTTTATGCGCAGTTCGTGGAGGATCCTGCGAGGAAGAATACGGCAGCCTGGAGAGTGGACGGTTTGCAGCATGGGATGGTGACCATGGGACTGAAGGACATTCTCAATGCGCTGAACGAGAGGCCCATATATAAGAAGACGATATCTGCGAATCCGTTTATCATGGTTTTGGAACAGGCTTTCAAGCAGAGGATCTCTCGGCAACAGCAGGATGCACAGGAGTTCCTCCAGGTGGTAGCCGAGCGTTTGTGTGATGAATATCACGCGGGGCACAGAGCCAGGAAGCACGCCTTGAAGCTTAAGAACGGGGAGAACACAAGTCAGGAAGCCGAAGATTCCTTGAGAAAGAGTGTCACTGGCATTTCCATAGATGAGTCGTCAAATCCCAAAGTTTCCGAGCCATCATCATCTTTGCAGAACGGAAACGGTCATCGAGAGGAGGGCTCAAGGGAGGGCATCAATCAGGAAAAAGAAGAAGGCTTTCCTCTTGAAGGCTGCTCCGAATCTCAAATTGAGTGTTTGACGTGTGGTTTCAAACCTACATCGCACAAGAGTACCTTCTGCTCCTTGACCTTGAGTGTTCCTCAAGTGCCCTCGACGACATTGAGCTCTTGCTTTGATCAGATGTTCAAGACCGAGTATATCGAGGATTTCAAATGTGAAAAATGCCGACTTGTTCATGCTCTCCAAACATATCAGCGAGACCTGTCAAGATCCACTTCCGAAGAGTATAAGGAGAAATTACTGATGTGGATTGGCCAGATCCAGCATTCTATCGACTCAGATCCGGAGCAGGAACTGACGGATGTAGAACTCCCAGACAGAAAACTGGCTCCCAAAAGGAAGATCGCAAAACACGTCAGGATCACCACTTTTCCAAAAGTCATGGCTATCCATCTCTCAAGATCCATTTTCGATGCCGGAAGGTGCACAATGAAGAACTCGGCCAAAGTTTCATTCCCAGAACGGTTACCACTGGGTGGGCTCATGAATCAGAAATTCTATAGACTTTCAAGCGTAGTCTGCCACAAAGGCAGCCATCATTCGGGCCACTACGAATCGTTCCGTCGGCAAACGGTCTCTGCCCCATTTTCAACACCTAATGTCTTTCAACCCGCAGGCATCTACAGCAAACCTCCCTCACCACTCCCATCGCGATTGTCAACTCCCCCATCAGGGCTAGCACATCGACCAGAAGAGTCCATCCTGGATCTCAGCACCGTACCGTCTACGCCGGAGCTTCTCTCGCCATCGTCGGCAGCCTCCTCGCCGTCGCCGTCTCATTCATACTTAAATGGCGAGCACAGCAATGGCTTGGCCTCAAGCTCTACCTCACGCTCAACATCAAAAGACACATCAGTCGGTACTGGTCCAACCTCCGCGCCGCAGAAAGGCTCAGACACAGCCAGCATCCGCTCCTTCGCACGCTCTACCCGATCCGCAATCTCTGGCAAGCTCGCCAGATCAAAGGACTCGTCCGTCCCTGCTACGAAACAAGAGACGAATGGAACGATGAGGACGATCAAGACTACAACCACGAATGCGAGCATGGTTAACAGGATTCGGAAACGTAACCCTAGTAATAGGTGGTGGAGGATCAGCGACGACAAGATCAAGGAGAGCAAGACGAGTGATGTGCTGGGTATGCAGCGCGAGGTGTATTTATTGTTTTATGAGCTGGAGAGGGAGTATCCGTAGATTTTCCGACTGCTTTGTTCCATGGCATAGTTATACTGTTAGAAATTTGGAATTTCGGGGTCGCTGCAATGGTTGTAGTGTGCGAATAGAGGTTGGAATATGCATGCATGGCTGGGGTTGGATCGATGCATTCACGGCTTTTCCTGGATGCCACAAGTTATATCCCGGAGCTTCTGGAATCCTGTATTGGTATTGGTGGTCTAGTTGATCGATAATTACCTATTTATTTTTGTTGAATATGAAGGCCAGTGGCCGATACGTGGCCTTGATCGTTTGGATGGTCTTTATCAGATAGATGCATATATACGCGGATGATATATGAATCGCTTTGTACGAGATTTGAAAATCTCATTAGGGTCGAATCATTGGCAGAGCGATTGGTATGTCGTGAATCTGAAGAAGTTGGCTTTGCCCCTTTCATAAGCGAGCTGGAAAGTGGTTTCGGGGCAACTATCAATGCGACGAAAATATCTTTCTCCTAATCCATCACTCTCATTTCTCGCGATATTTTTAGATATAGTCCTACTTAGTCCCTGAACATCATAGCCTTCTGACGTTGCTTCGAAGCCAATGGGAGCAAGACTATTTATGTTTCTGGCCATCACCACATATCACCACTACTGACGAAAAGGGAAAATTCCAGGTCATTCATCGGGCTCTCTCTCGGATCTATCTGTGTAGACTCCCGACAGTTTCTGACTCCACACTACTACTGACTGATCTTAGGTCTTCGCTTACAGGCTCTAGGAAATCTTCTCAGTACTCTTGGTGTCCGTTTCGAAGATGGAGTCTCTGTCGCTTGCTTTGCCTTAAATATATATAATACTACTACAAAGCTCGCAGGCTCGCTTTGATGAACAATAGCCCAGTTAGATTCGGCGGAAACGGCAATACCCTCGTCGATAAATTCCGGCGCCTGAATTGCGGGTAGACGATACCTACGTAACTGCTTCGCCAAATCCCGGCTTGCCGTGTTTGTTGAATCTGAGGCGAGGGTATTCCTGACTCACGTCCCCAGCTTCCTTTTCGCGTTTCTCGCGCATCTTGGTCTTGAGCCGCTGAACAGGCAGGCTTTTAGATTTTCGCACATGGTGCCTCCGTGACTTTGAGATCCGGATAGAGCAGGTTCATCGTTTTGTGGAGAGTGCTCGTTCGCATTTGCAGACTCTAAGACGTCTGTCACCCTCTCCATTGGCCACAACGTTGATGGTGGCCAGCGTTGATTGAAGTCTTCGCGGATTAGCCTGTTTTTTTTTTGGGTGGGGGGGGGAAGGGCAGAATATGAAGGGTCCAAACTTTATACCTTCTTCTGAAATGGGACTCAGCCTCCGTCAACGGGATCACCGAAGTGGTATTTGGGGACACAAGGCCAGTAATCCGTGCCTCTTCGCGTAGTGTATCCAACATCTTCGATCTGTCTGCTAGGGTTCCATCGATGCTAGAGTGAGGCAGTGTCGAGGCAGAGCCAGTACCGTCTTCAGGAGGTCTTTGGTCCACGTCTGTCCAAATGGCTTCCCCTTGCGCAAAAGATGGTCTTGGAAACCCGCTGATTTCTGGCGGCTCATTTGGGCCAAGATCAACGATAACAAGATCCGCAGACTCGCTAAATGCCTCTCTCCTTTCGTCGTTCTCCTGTCGAGGTGAATATCCTTGGAGCTCTCAGCCACGCGTAACACAAAGTGGTACTCCCAATTATCGTTTTCCAGAGGACGAGCAATAAAATCAAATGGTCGGGCGCATATGAAACTGTAACAATCCATTGGGGTATAAACACCTTCCAGGTAACGACTTTTGTGGAAATTATAGTCGCAAGTTCCCCGTTTTGCATCTCTACTGAGAGCGTGACTATGGATTGTCTTCATGGTCACCGTTTTCGTCATCGGGGAAGGTGTTAGCTTTCCACAATTTCCAGCTGATTTGTTCTTCGAGGTCTACCGATTGACCTCTGTGCGTGTGTGATCCACGGTTCCTCTCCAGATCCTGTCAAATTCTCTTAAGATGGAATCTCGCATAGGACATTCAGAACGGCTCATGAGCAAGGCATTTATTGTGCATCTGTAAACAGAAAACATCAATCCAATGTCTAGCCACACCGCCTCTGCATTTCTATGTTTGTCACTTGCGAGCCTCTGACTGATCTCGAGGATACTGAGACGGAATACAGTAACGTTTCCTTGCCCAGGTAACCATACAGAGAAGGGCGGGAGGGTTGTTGGTTCTATAAAGTAGCTTAGTAATGGCTCATGCTCGGCTAATTCATTCAACATGTCTTCGCAATTTCTCAAATCCTTTGCGGCACTGAAGCTCCAGCTGGCTACGCTGTTCTGAACAGAGTGGGAGTTGAATTCCATTCGTGGGGCAGCGTTGCCAGAATCAGCTTCGCCTTCTTCGGTGTATCCTTGAGGTATGGCAAAGAGGGCAAGCTGCTCCATGTGAGCTCCCAGGTGGGGTTAAAATTGGCTCTTAGTGACGGAAAGAGCCTCCGTCCCTGGTATGTGGGAATTGATGGCGCGGAGCTTCTCTTCCCAGTCATCGCAAACAGGGCTGTCAGTGGGCCACATTTTGACAAGTGCTCGTTGCCTCATTTCGAGAAGTGCCGGTAATTGGCCTTTGGTGAAATTTTCGGGATGGCGACTTTCGAGGTGACTCTCGTAGGCATCTGACCTCCTGAAGGGAAATTCATGACAGAAATAGCAATTTTACTGCTGCCGATGGTGCTCCAGTTCGTGAGAGACCCAGGTATGGCGGTCTAAAAAGAGTTTCAATTCACAGTTTTCGAAGGTACAGACGTAAGGCTTGAGATCGGACAGGACATGCTTTCTATGAACTGTCAAATCGATGAATCCAAAGACTTAGTTCTTCACTTACTTCCAAGCTTTCTGGGTTCGAGCAGTCTGGATTTGCCAGCAATAAGGGCATTCAAACTGTTTGAGCTCCTTGGAGACATGCTCCAATTTGATGACAGAGAGTGTAGCGCCGCTGCCTTGGTCATCATTAGATGTCGCATACGGAGTCTGAGACAGAGTGTTTTCCGTATCTTCTTCGAGTACTTGGCCGGAGGTCAACATGAGGGTAGATGCCTGTGTATGAGCTAGAGTACTAGGTTGCTTTGAGAAGCCGCTCCTCGAAATTGGCATCGGCCTTGCAGATGGTTGTTTGGACAGCTGGGCAGGCTGAACGCCGGTTGTCTCATGCCGTGACTCTTCTGCACCTCTTGCAGTATTGTCATGATATTCTCGACAATACTTCAGGTACTGTCGCCGCTGGGTAATTGCCTTCCCACGTCTCTCAATCAGCCAGCGGTTTTTCCTCTATACAAGAGCAGAAAATTTGTGTTTCACGTGATGAACGTCAAACTGCTCATTGACTTCGACTTGTTAGTACTGGAGTTTCCAATTGGAAAAGAAAGAATAAGAGCGAGTCTACCCCATGCACATGTCCTGTGTGCTAAAGAGCCCTGGAAGGTTTATACATACACGGGTTGGCGGTTGCAGATGCAGCCGCTTTCGCATACCGGTCACGGTTAGTATTGTTGCGAATTATGATCGAGAAACGGAAGAGGTTCTTGATGGCATCCTGTACGGACTCGAAGATTTCGCGAATTTCGAAAAGTTCATCTACGAGGCTACAGACCCGTCGAAGATATCCACAGATCAACCCTACGTCTCGCGTTCCCTCTCAAAAGCTCTCGGTCAAACCACAGCCACAACCGCAGCCCCAAACCCAGCAAGCAACTACACGTTGCAAAACAGCATCCGCAAACTTGGCATCATACTTCTGGAACTCTGCTTCGGCAAAGTAGTTGAGGACCACACATTAAGCAGCGATTTGGGAATGGCAGCCGCAGAGGACAAAAGGCTACAGTTTCTGAAGTATTGCGTCGCAACGGACTGGTCTGTAAATCACCTTCCTTTTCTCTTCGATGTCTTTGAAATCGGAATTGTATCTCAGTCAGGATATGTGCTCCCAGATGATACTTCAGTCCCGGAATATTGAAAGAAACTGGTGCTAACGTGCAAGAGTCAGGTTGAAGAGAGTGGTCGAGGAATCTGGACCCGAGTACGCAAATGCGGTGAATGGTGTCTCCACCATGATCCTGGGAGTACAGGTGCAGACGGGGTAGAGGAGAGGTGGAGGGAGGTTATGTTTTCCAATGTCATGGAGCCTCTGAGGCGCTGCCGTGATCTGCCGATGGTAGTTTGAGACTGCCTCATCATTTTACAATTAAGCTTTGGTACGAAATTTTCATCTATTACAATATTCCCAAAAAAAAACCTGCGTCTTCTGCTGTCTGTCACGTCACAGCTTCTCGAGACTCTCGCCTCAGATCATAATATTCCGAACACCATAACATATCTTCTTTCTCTAACTGGAAATCGGGACAGTAAAGCCTGTCTTAGGTAGTTCCGGCATAGCGAATTGAGCCAGCTCTCAATGCCCTTCTCGATACATAGGTGACCCATTGCTCACCTCAATCTCAATCCATAGTAGGTGCCGCGCTCGCTTAAAAACCCCACGTTCTCTCGCTTAATCAAACAACACAAACAAACAAAGAACACAAACAAAAGCAAATCAAAAAGATATTGGTGACGTTCGTCACAGTGCTATTAATCTCGACAATTCTAAACTAGTAATATTATTAATATTAAATTAAAAGGGTGGGGGTGGGGGAGAAAATGTTAGAGAGACCACTGCTTGCTTCGGACCTAAGGGGATATTACTAGGAATGAAATGCTAGAAAGACAGCTGCTTGCATTACACTCAAGGGGGCTAATACTAAGGACAGCTGCTTGCATCGAACCTAAAGGGCTATTACTAGGAATGAAATGCCAAAGGACTGCTGCTTGTACCGCACTTCCAAGGGCTATCACTAGAAATGAACTGCTGAAAAATAGCTGCTTGCACCGCACTTATAAGGGCCACTATTAAAAATAAAATGCTAGAAAAGCAATTGCTTGCATCGCATTTAAAAAGGCTACCATTTAAAATGAGATGCTAAAAGGACGACTGCTTATATTATACTTCAATAAGCCATCATCAACAATGAAATGCCTCCGTAAAACGACAGCTGCTTGCACCGCGCTCTTTCGGTTACGATCGGTATTAGAATCGGCTTTTCTCAGCAAAACATTTGCTATCAAAAGCTTTGTTGTTAACATTCTTTAACAAAGCAGCGAGCTACGATAATGAAAGATCGATAGCAAGAATCTCCGTAACCGATTCTATCCGGTTAGTATCTTTGTATTATCATCCTTCCCAAGCTTTTTATCAAAAATATTTATTTAAAAATGTCGATCGCAATGTTTTGATGTTCTTACCCCGCGCTGCGTTTTTACTGTAGTCCACTTCAAGTCTAATCAATGCGCCTTGCGAATTCAGATGTAAGCTAGCTAATCAAGAGGAGTTAAAGACGCGAACGTACGAAGAGTTGCTTACTTGCGATAAAGCAGCGTTGGCGCTATCTTCAAGCTAGCTAATCAAATGGGCGTAAGCAATATTATAATTAAGCGAGTTTTGGAAAGCAGCGGTAAGTGGTCCGGACGGAAAGGTTCACCGACAGTTCCTCGTTCAGCCGCGCCAGAATAGTCTTGATCGGAGATTTAATCGGAGATTTATAGCACATCAAGGTCCTGAAAATACGTACAAAAAATTCCCCTCCCCATTCCCCTCCCCCCAAAAAAGGGCAAAAAGATGAACGTTGCTGTGGCTGTCTACTTCACTCTGCGGATGCCCATGATTAACGCGTCAACTCATCCTAACCGCACCTCGAGCGTACAGCATGATTTTGTTTTCTGCGCTGCTAGAGATTGAATTTGTACTTTTCTCTCGCTGGGTTACTAGCGCGACTTTGACGACGATGAGATGATGACTACGACGATTTCTACAGATCAGAGGCGAGTGGGGAAAGAGGTTGAAGCGAAGTACGCGATGGTATTTTGATTCAGCGTTGCTTGTGTAAGGATGGTAGGTAGGTAGGTAGGTAGGTAGGGCTTGGGATTTGGGTTTCTCGCTTCCGGTATGTATTGCTGGGATTGCATTGGGAAGGAAGGGGGAGCAATTCTGCCTGTAATGGATGAATGACGTGTAACAGACAACAGACTTGAGATTTCGCAAGGCGATGAAATAAATGCAAGATCAACGAGATGCAGTTCGGCTCGGATAGATACGGGAGACTTAAAGGAATGGGAGGTGGGATAGATTGATGCTGGGGTACATATCCCACTTGAATGATAACGATCCGATGATAGATAGCAACGGGAGCTTTGCTGGCTGGCTTCAAGCCTGGACGAGCCTGATCTTGATCTTGATCATGCATCTGTATCGAATTTTGGCGATAAGATTGTGTATTTGGTTGCAACTGGCTGCTGCTCCCTTGCCCTCTCTCTGCACAGCCTCTTGCCGGGCGCTGAACTGAAGGCTCGACGCCCGCTTTAATCTATTGACGTTGACGTTGCAATGCAAAGCGACGAGGATAGTATAGGTAGGATAGGATACGTGGAATCAGCGAAGGACAGGATGGTGCCGTACCTATGTTGTTGTTGTGTATAATCGATCATGGGTCATGGGCGGGCACGATGAGGATATATACAGTTTATACACAAATGTAAATAAATCTATATACGGAGATACACCATCCCAATACAGTACGTACTTATCCGTGCGTTAGAAAAAAAAAGTCTGATATGCCCCAGTCCAAGTGCAAAGCCCAGACCAAGTCCAAGCAAGGCCCAGTCTACCGTACTCTGTAGTTCAGTATCCAAAAATAGGACAGGACAGACGAAGTGAGAATGCCGATGCGCCAACGAGAGAACAAGGCCATCCAGCTCTCTGTTGCGTACGTTGTACCAGTAGAAATGACCAGCGGTACTGTAAGTACGTACTACTACCGGTACGTACAATACTAGAAGCCGCATTTCAGCCGGGACGAGGGACGGGAGAAGATCCGCAGTGCCAAGTTTGTCGTCATACCGTACGTACTCTTAATTCTCTGAATAAACGTGTCACGGCTTTGATGCTGCTGTGCACATCTCCACCTCGTCCACCTCTGCATCTTCTGGCTCTCCGCCTATCTCTCTCTCCTCCTCCTCCTCCTCCTCCTCCCCCTCCTCCCCCTCCTCCTCCTCCCTATAAATCGCCAGTCCTAGAATCACATTCCCATCTATCCCATTCTTTTGTTACACCAGACATCCTTGCCGCTTCCCTGCAATTCCCATCTCAACCCCATCCCCATCCCAGTGCCGACTCCCCGTCCCGTATCTACGGAGTATTCAAGGGATAGTAATCAAATAATAAATTCATTTCTATTCGAGTCCGCAACCCGCATACACACCTCAACCTCCAAACGACAAACCTCGTCCTCCTACGCCTCCTACCACCCACCTCCACCTCTACCCTCCGAGGACGCGCCGAAAAAAAAAAAGAAACATTATTCCGGGAGCAGGTCACGAAGTATATTAATTTGTCTGGCCTCTGGCCCGTCATAGCCACTCGCTTTCCACCACCATGGAGTACGTCAGGATCCTCGATTCAGTCATTAGGAGGCAGGAGGAGTCGGGAGGTCAAAAGCTTCTAGATCTCCTCAAGAACCCCTTTTCAGCCCAGGTACAGACATCTATCTGCCCAGTCCCTTGATGAACGCCAGCCAGTAGCACACACATCTAACTCGCGATACCTAGCTGGCCCAAAATTCCGTGTACGCCAGTTTGGGAACGTCAATTGGCTTCACTCTCCTCCTCGCCATTGGATTTTCCGCCCTCCGACCCTTCAATTCCATCGTATACGCGCCGAAGCTCAAGATCGCAGATGACAAGCATGCGCCGCCGCCGCTGGGGAAAGGCATGTTCTCCTGGGTGGCGCCCATTTTAAAGACGAGTGAGCAAGACCTGGTCGTCCTGATTGGTCTGGATGCCGTGGTGTTTATGCGGACCCTGAAGATGTGCCGGAATATCTTCCTGGTCATGACGGTTGTGGGATGTGGCATTTTGATCCCGGTGAACTTGGCCAAGGGGCAACAATTCTCCAGCTCGACTGCACTTGCGCGAGTGACGCCTGTCAATACCTTTGGAACTGCCAACTGGGGGATGACGATCTGTGCATGGATTTTCAACGCGATACTTGCGTTTTTCCTGTGGTTAAACTACAGAGCAATTCTGAGGCTGCGGAGGCAGTATTACGACAGTCCAGAGTACCGGGCTAGCTTGCACGCCAGGACACTCATGGTGAGAGAAGCACTGCATGATCTGACAGCAAACGGCTAATACAGGAACAGATCAATGACATCCCCAAGAATTTCTGTTCGGACGAAGGGATTGGAAGGTTGATTGATCAGGTCGTGCCCACGTCATCGTTCTCGAGAACAGCTATCGCACGAAACGTGAAGGAGTTGCCAGAGCTGATTGAGCAGCATGGCCAAACGGTGCGAAGTCTCGAAAGATACCTAGCGAAGTATCTCAAGGATCCGCACAACTTACCTCCCCGCCGACCAGTGTGCGGTCCCTCGAAGGATGATCCTAACTGGGGTACATATCCCAGGGGCCATAAGCTGGACGCTATCGAATACTTGACAGGTCGTATAAACCAGTTGGAGACGGAAATCAAGGAAGTGCGCCTCACTGTGGACAACCGAAACCCTCTGCCATACGGATTTGCCAGTTACGAGGAAATCACGGAGGCCCACAGCATTGCCTATGCGGCCAAGAAAAAGCATCCCCAGGGGACAACGATTGTATTGGCTCCTAGACCCACAGATATTATCTGGAAGAATATGCCCCTCACCAAGTCCCAAAGACGCTCGAGACGATTCATTAACAACCTCTGGGTCACCCTCTTGACTATAGCATGGATTGCGCCAAACGCTTTGATCTCGATTTTTGTTATCAGTCTGGCAAATCTTGGTCACGTCTGGCCCGCTTTCCAGACATCTCTAGAACGACACACAACGTGGTGGTCGATCGTCCAAGGTGTGGCTTCACCAGCTATCACGTCTTTGGTCTACTTGGTTTTGCCAATCATCTTCCGTCGTCTTGCTATCCGAGCAGGAGACCGAACGAAGACTGCTCGCGAGCGCCATGTTGCTGGCAAGCTTTATACCTTCTTCGTATTCAACTTCTTGATTGTCTTTTCAATGTTTAGTACCGTCTGGACGTTCGTGTCGACCGTCGTTGAAAATACAGCGAACGGTACAGATGCTTGGCAGGCTATTCAGGATGCCAACTTTGCGCAGGCACTTTTCATATCCCTTTGCAACATCTCGCCCTTCTGGATCACATGGCTACTGCAGCGAAATCTGGGAGCTGCTGTCGACTTGGCCCAGTTATGGACTCTGGTTTGGAGTTTCTGCGTTCGAAAATTCTCCAACCCGACTCCTAGGGAGATAATCGAATTGACGGCCCCGCAGGCATTTGACTACGCATCGTACTACAACTATTTCTTGTTTTACAGCACTGTAACGTTGTGCTTCGCGACAATACAGCCGCTGGCCATTCCAGCCTGTGCTCTGTACTTCATCATCGATGTTTTCCTGAAGAAGTACTTGCTTCTCTACATTTTCGTCACAAAGACCGAGTCCGGCGGCATGTTCTGGCGCATGTTTTTCAACCGGATGATTTTTGCTGCCTGCCTCTCAAACTTGGTAGTTTTCCTCTCAGTCTGGGTCCACGGAGACGGCTCCCACATGGAGGCATATTTGATAATTCCCCTTCCGTTGCTCATGTTGGCGTTTAAATGGCTCTGCAAGAAAACCTACGACGACAAGATCCACTACTTCGTCCAGGCCAACACGTCCAAAGACCCCGAAAACGAAAACTCCAAGATCTTCGATGCCAAGCGTGACAGACTCGCGGCCCGATTCGGCCATCCAGTGCTTTACAAACCACTAATCACACCCATGGTGCACGCCAAAGCACAGAACATTCTCGCTTCCGTCTATGGCGGTCGTCTCACAGACAGCAACGCAATCGGCGCCAGTGAATCAGCTTCCATTTCCGGATACACTGACACCTACACCCTCGATCCTATGCAAGCAGGGCATGCCGGCAAGAAATCTCATGCCGGCATTCCTGGTTTCGAACTGGTACCTGAGAACAGGCTCGACTTTGCGCATTTCAAGGGTCGTGCCGAGTTTGGCGAGGAGCACGGAGGCGGCGGTGGTCTCTATGGGAGAGCAGAGGATATGATCCGCTCTGACACACCCGGTAACTCGACCGCATACGGTGACTCGTTACCTGGGACGCCTCGGACGGCGACGTTCTCGAATTTCGGGGGCGCGCCTTCAACAACTGCTCGCGCTGACCGCCAGGCGTCGAGCGGGTCGTATGATGCGCGTAGTGATGCTGGGAGCAACTACAATTCTATGTATGGCCACCGGAACGAAAGCGAAACGAACCTCATGTCTGGAGCGGCGGAGCCCCCCGTCTCTCACGCGGGAGTGCCCAGTAGCGCCCGAGGTAGAGACCCGAGTCTAGAGCGGCGAGCACATGGGTTCCTGGGTGGCGGACCGCAGGGCTACGGGGGCCTCCCGCAGGAAGAAGAGGAGCACCACCAGGACCCGATGAACTATGATTATTTCCGCACCCGGAGGCAGAACGCCGGGTGGCAGGGCTGGGGCGCGTAGGCAGGGTTTCATGTGCAATACCTTTGAGGTGTTTTTATATATAGGATAGGGGTGTAGATAGGAAATCGGGGGGCGGGGGCTCATAAGGATACAGATGGAGTCGGTGCATTGGGTATGGAGTTTTTTAGATTGAAAGCCGAACGAGCTTGGGAAGTTCGAGGGCTTGGCCTGGAAAGGAATGGCATGACATGATTGATGACGAGAGTGGCTATACCTACCTAGCTACTTCCCTAATACTACACTTCAAGACAAGTTTTTCCTTGTGTATGTTTGCTTTTGTTTTTGTCTAGTTTGTGCTGAGCTGTCCTGCCCCCCTTCCCCTCCCCCCATTTGTGGATAAATGGCCGGTATTCATATTTGGTCTGAGAGGGAGTCCGGGAGCGATTGAATGGGGAGGGAGAGAAGGGGTTGAATCTGGATCTGGATTTGAGGCATAGACCGGTTTGTCAAGTATTTACTCAAATGCATCGTTCCCCCTCTATCCTTCTCCGTCGTGCTTCTCTGATACTTGAAACGCTCGTAATGATCTGCTAATTTTTTGTCTCTCCCCTATCCATATTTCTCCCCCCTATCCTTCTACTCCCCTTGGACACCTCCTCCAGTCCAGTACCCCGACCGTACTAGGCGCCGCGGGATCACGTGTATTTAGCGCGGACTCGTTGCCGTGGTTACCGCAGTCTCAGTTAACGGCCAGGATGCGGCCGTCCCCAACTTCAGGGTACTTCCCCAAGCCAACATCGGACGCGCTCTGATCTGGAGGATCTTGGATCCATTCCTGCATACTACCGGTATCCTCGATAATACTGTATCCTGGACCCGACCAAAGGTAAGCCCTGCCCCCAGCACTCTCTCCCTCTGTCAACACCTCCCAGCCTGTCACAACACTTCCACACGGTGATTTCGAACATTCAATTCAAGGCCTTTGTTCGAGGGTCCGTGCCGCACTGGGTAAGAAATTGGGTGTTCTCTTTGCGCCGACAGCTGGTGCACCAGCGGCCCTATTCCAAACTCTCCTACTCTGGTCGAGGGGGCTCGCACATCAGCCTGGGGACTCGCTGTGTGGAAAGTGTGAGAAGTTCCAATGTTCAGCATCACCTGTGCTACCCTCGGGTCACGGGTGCGTGTGCGCACCAGTGATGCCGCCCGGCCCCTCCTGGTTGCTCGATTGTGCTTGCAGTCTACACGTGATACCTAGCTGGGCCTACCCCCAGATTCGGAGCCTCTGCTGTGATTTGGATCTAACTAGTGATGCTGGTGTTGAGGAGGGGGGAGTGTGGTCTTACGCAGCCTCTTTGGCCGTACGCATTGAAGCTGACTTGGGGGCCCTACAGATACCGGTAGATCTACTTGTATGATCCATCGAATGTCTCTCGATCTGACGCTGTCTTTTGACACCCACGGTATGTATGCTCTCGAGTCTCTCCTCCCCATCAGTACGTTCATCGACTAACACCCCCAAACACAAGACCACATGGTAGAGCTGATACCATGGGTACGCACACTCGATAGCTAGGTAGGTAGGTAGGTAGGTAGGTATCTGCGACGTGAAATCAGTTCGCTTACGGGTTGTGCTCTATGGAGGGGGAGCGGTGAGGTATAATTCGACGGTATAAATTTCTTTGTGTTTACTTGGGTGCTGGATGTGTGGGGCGGCCCCTGGAACTATCTTTGTTACTATATATTGAAATTGGTGTTTTTGGTAGATACGGTTGGAAGGAAATATAGTATAGCTGTTCGTGATTGATTGGCTTCTGATGATAGTTTCGCCATATAGGGATATTCGCACTCAAGATACCTCGTTGATATACTTCTTTACCTAGGATCTTTTTTGAGCCCTGTTAATGAGGATAGAGTTATGTGTTTGGATAGGTATATCCTCAGATAAATGGAAACGGAGGAGGATTTACTGTGTAGAGTCACTCGTGCAGCCAGCATATCTGTCCCCATGCGTTGATCTATTTAAAGCGGAGAAAGCGTTTGCAACGCTCTGAATGGCTAGCTAAGCGCGAATTTAGTAGTAACAGTTGTAGATTGGATTTTATATTTAACATGATTTTCGCATGGGGACAGATATGCCCGCCTGACTCATCTCTCCCCTTTAAATAGCCAAATTCCATCCGTGCGGTCTTCGAGATCCGGCCTTCACAGAGTAATACAATGCACAATTTCACTGTACCACCACTAATATCCTGCATCCTTTATCTGGATGGCGGGGTAGCCTTTTTTTTTCGCCATGACCGAGATTCCTTATTTCCATTTATATATTTATATATGTATACATGTATTTACTTGTGTTTATTTCTCTCTTTACTACTATTTTGGTTCATCATCAGCAAATCTTAACCGAACTGTATCAAATTACTGTTCATCCTGTGATCAATTATAGCACCTCCAGCATCGCGCATATGCACCAATGAGGAGGGCCAAAGGTCCCCGGGGTGTTCGCTGTAAGGGAAACGCCATCAATCTCGAACGCGACCCGTCCTGTGCGACTGACTCTTGTCACCTTCATTTTCAGCTCTTCTTCATCCCTTCCAATCCCAACTTTTTTCGCTCTCTGCTTTTGCTTTCTCTGCCACCCTCCTGGTTTTTTTTTCTCTGCCTCTTCCCTTTGTTTTGCCATCCATTGGTCTCTATCCTATCTATCTATCTTCTTCAACTTAACTTGAACTTCTATTTCCAATTATCAAGTCGGCCGCGCCTGGCCCTATTTTCCCCAGACGAGAACGCGCATTCAATCATCCATCCGTTCGAAAAACCGGCGCAATACGCATTTGCGCTTCATTTCTGCTTCCCTTCTTCACGTCGTCTTCGGAATATGTATATGTTGTCGCGATACTGCAAATCCAACTACCGCTTTATAAACAGATCAGCGCGAACGGTCATTCTTTGACATTTGCACCCATCAATCTGTGATCATAATACCACGCTCATTACCAATATAACCTCAAGATGCTCCCAACATCGCTCCTAATGCTCACCGCGAGCCTTGTTACGCCCATCATTGCGGCGACCGCGCCATCTTGCGTCGCAGGCCCGGATGCGACAGGCTACGCAGCGCAAAAGCTGCCCTACCTGTACAACAACCTTTGCAAAGAGCTGTCTACAGCGAACTTTGGCACCAGGGAGAAGCTCTATGACGCGCCAGTGATCGCATTGAGCTTTAGTGCCCGCTCAGTAGGAGAATGCTCTCTCGCGAGCTGTCTCATTGGCTTCAAAACGCTGGTTGATGGCTGTGAGTTCTACTTTCCTCAGGTAGCGTGATGTCAACAGGACTGATGCTAACACCCCGCAGGCGACAGAGATGACAAGTCCATCTGGGGCAGCGGCAGCTTTGAGTCCAGCTGCGGCGTCTTCTCCTTCTCGGTCTGGGCACCCGAGGCGACAGCCTCTCTCGGGAAGCCCCGGGCGACACTCACCGCGGCGACGATGAAGACTTACGACATCGCTTCCCTGCTGGCGTCAACATCCACCTCTCGGCAAGCATCGACATCCAGCTCCCGGTCGAAACCGACGTCCTCCGCCTCAAGGTCCAGCTCCCGCCCAAGCAGTACCCCGTCCCCGACATCAACATCGTCCTCCGCACGCATGACTTCGTATTCAGCGCAGCCCCCGACCACCACCACGCACGCCACCCTGACGAGTACCTATGCTAAGTCGAACTCGACCTCGGGCCTCGCAGGCTACAACTCGACCGCGAGCGCGACCTCGACCTACATCGGCGTCATGGGAACCGGCAGCCAGACTGTGCCGGGGACGAAGCCCGACGTCGGCGACGGCACCGCGAACGTGGCGAAGAGCGGCGCGGGCATGATCCGCGTCAGCGGACTGAGCCTGGTCGCGGTCGCTAGTGTGTTTGGCGTCTTCCTCTAGAGGGGACAAGCGGCACCTACTACCCATCCATCTCCATCTCCCTTTCCACCATCGACCGGCAGGATATGCAAAAACTTGAATGTATGACGCCTTGATGCCTTGATGCCTTTCACCACAAGCTAGATATAAATGCTTTTTTGACGAATCGAGAAGGGGTCGGTTTGGCGCAAGCAATACCCGGCGCAAACCCGGCGCAATATGGGGGAGTCGTAGTGTGGGGTTGGTCACCCACCCCACTTTTTTGTTCCTTTTGTTCTCTTGGGTTTTTTATTTTTCCTTTTTGTCGAATTGATATTTCCTATCGTCAAACATTAGATTATATTTTTATCATTAAACACTAGACAGGAAAAAAACATATATAATATAATATGTCTCTCTTTCTCTATCTCTCTTTTTTTTTTTTTCCTTTCCTTTTTTTTTCTTCTCTTTCCCCAAATATCCATTTCAAATTTCAAAAGGGCCGCCAGCCAGTAGCAACGAACGAGGCTGGCAAGCGCGGATCTATTCTCATTTCATTTTATTTCATCTCATTTTATTTTGTTTCATTTTGTTTCATTTCTCATTTCATCTCACTTCACTTCATTTCATTTCATCTCACTTCATCTCATCTCATCTCATTTTATCTCATCTCATCTCATTTCATCTCATCTCATCTCATCTCATCTCATCTCATT